ATTACAACTCTGTTTATTATATTCAAGAGACGTGTTCACTTCAATTATCGGAAGAGTGCCTGTGCAGTGTGTAGTGTGCATAATGACCCTTACATTCTTAATTTCATCATTAAAATTGTATTTCAAGTCCCTTTAGATTATTTTTAAGTATTTAATATACCTAGTTGTCTTAAATTATTTTTACATACGCGTGAAACTAAATACTTACCTACATCATTAACAAAAGATTTGCAATTTTATATTTAGAGCTTTAGTTCTGCGAAAATTCTAATTATAATTTATTATAATTATGTTTATAATAAATAAAATAATAAATATGTTGGGACATGAACACACAGCACCATCTAGTTACATGGTAAGCTACGAGGCTTGTGTTATGGATACCAGATAGTTGATACACATATATAACTTTTCAATACATATATATTATAAATGACTGGAGTACAAACATTCGTGTTCATCACACAAACGAATGTCGCCAGCGGGACTCGAACCCGCGACCGCTGGCACAGCAAGTAGGATCACTACACACTGAGCCTAACGTGTCGTAAAAATTAAAGTTGGTCTTAATATGTTTTTATCTACCATACTTTTTATACCTACGACCTAAAAAAAAACAAAAAACGTACGGAATGAGAATAATAGGTTGAGGATTTAATTAGTTATAAGAACGACATAAATACAATAAACTTCACATAACGCAGGCTTCTCTTAGATATACGCATTAAAATAAGTAAAACAGATATGTCTGGATATTGTCTGGCATCCGTGATCCCGTTCCGGACAGAATTTACGAGGGACACATTTTTAGGTCAAAACCACCACGAATAAGATTGCTACCAGTTTAAAAGGTAAATGAAAATCAGGTCGGAATAATTATAAAAGATGTTCCATTATTCTGTTTTTCTCATTTTCATTGTTGTCAATACTCGCTCGTGTCGCGATGAGTCAAGATTGATGTTGTTGTTTATCTTTTTATAACGATCCTTATAAAAGCTTATAATTTTACTAAGATATTCCTTTTACATTGAAAACTTCAGATATTTTTTGAAGTGAAACTTTTTTAGAGTCGTTGTGATTTGAAACTCGATGAAACGGAGAGGTGACAAGAGGAAAGAGACAAAGACATAAATATATAGGATTTAGCCGACGAGAAAATAAGATACAATAAATTGCCATGTTGCCATGGTAACCGTTGTTATTGTCTGACAAATATATAATACTAGCAGAACCCGCCACTTCGCTCGCGCTAAAGCTACAAAAATTCTCTAAAAAGGTAGTTTCATACAAGCTTTCATCCCCTATTTTACCCCCTTATAGGATGAATTTTGAAAAATGCTAATATCATATTTATTTATGTGTATATGTATGTATTTAAAGTTATATATGTGTAGTGTATCAACTATCTGGTATCCATAACACAAGCCTCGTAGCTTACCATGGAACTAGATGGCGCTGTGTCTTAATGTCCCTACATATTTATAATTTATTTATTATTTAATTTTATTGAAAAATATATATACCAAGTCAAGTAATTCTGATAATACATATTTTTTTGGATTGTATTATAACGTGTTTTCCCGTGGGAATTAAGTAATTCCTGCGATAAAAAGTAGCCTATTTCAATCTCCAGCCCTCCAACTATCTCCACACAAAAAATCACGCCAATCCGTTTCTCCGTTTTGACGTTAAAGAAAGACAAACAAACACACTTTCACATTTTATAATATTAGTATGGATATGGATTATATTCTTTCCGTGTATGATATTCTATAAATATATGATTGTAATATATATTTAATTGCGATATTTGCCAAAGAAGATTTAATTCAACCGCGCGTAAAGGTTACACGCCCCCATTTTTTTTTATGAATAATATGTACGTATTATGTTTATTGTACATGATGTACTCCTAGCCGATTCCGACTACGGCGGTCAATCTCATTGAGACTAGCCAACTGCGCAGGAGATATTATAGTGCACAAGTGTACACGCAGACACAATTGCACTCTCTATTCCTGTCACTCTCATACTCCGGTGGAACGACTGCTCGACACGACCAATGAGAGTTAAGGCGCAGGACCGACGGTTTTACGTGCTCTCCGAAGCACGGGGGTTAAATACGGCCAACTTCCCAACTCCGGGCTGTTACTGAGACTTACTATACAGAAAGACTCAATAACTAAACTTGGCCCGACCCGGGACTCGAACCCAGGTCCTCCGAGCGTGCAGCCGTACATGCTAGCCACTACACCACCGAGGCATTTTTATTGTACATACTATTATAATTAATAAGCTTTTGTCTAAGAACGCTTTTACGGTCACGAGGTAAACTTGTTCGAGTAAAAATATTTATGAGCATATTATATTAATATAAATATATTCTGTTGTTCTAAATTAATAAAATTAGTCGTCATCCCTAATTTGAACTGTTTTAAAACATTAATAATTATGAATACTTTAGATGCCGCTGTAAATAGACAGCCAGAGGGGCTGCTGAGTGGACACATCTATACATGCGCCGAAAAGAGCACTATCTTTACATAGTATAAAAGTAAAACGAGTCGCTTCTGCTGTCTGTTCGCTTAGATATTTTAAACTACTCAAGGGATTTTAATGCAGTTTATCTATCTATATAATCTGAATCTCGGAAACGGCTCCAGTGATTTTCATGAAATTTAGTAAACCAGGGGTTTTGGGGGCGATAAATCGATCTAGATTACTCTTATGTCTGCGAAAACGCGTGTTTTCGAATTTTCATGCGGTTTTCTTTTGCATTATTCCACGCAAAACATTATGTTCGATAATTTCGCACGCTCGGGCATAAGCATCATGGTCAACCGGCCAAGCCGCAAGATTGAATAAGTGTCCGGGTTCGAATCCTGGTCGGATACAAAGATATAATTTATTTTTGTTTTTTTTTGTATTTATTCAAATTTTTTATTTATAAAAAAAAAGAAAATTGTATTTTTGACCAAAAACTACGAGCGAAGCTCGGTGGCCCAGGTACTATGTATAATAAATGTATATATAGTACAGAAAAACGGAGAAATTCAAAGATTTGTGTTTCATACTAACCGTTAAAACGTACCTAACGACGGACGTACCCGAGCGAAGCGAGGGTGAGTCGCTAGCGACTCACCCTCGCTGAATGAAGTTGGCTTTATATTTGTACTAGTACAAATATAAAGCCAACTTCATTCATTATGACCATTTACTACCAACCAACCAAGACCAAAGATAAATAATTCAAAAAATGCAATGCATCTATGAATGCCATCGCCATCTATGAATTTATCTACATGAAATCAGCAAAATAAAAAAAAATACGAAAAGAGCCAATTAGTGCCATTTCTTTTTAAGTAATATTTAAAATAAAAGTTAATAAATTTAAAATAAACATCAGTAACAAATGGATACATATGACTTCATTATAAAAAAAAACATAATTTTGTGTTCCTGATTAGGCTCCAAGTACCTAATAATAAGTCTCAAACATTTGTATTTTACGCTTTTCTTTGAAAGAGCGGAGGTCTACGTTTTGTACGTTATACAAGGACTCGAACACCTACATACATATATGAAAAATAGTTAACTAATTTCTACATTTTATGCAGTTGTAGACCTTTTTGCCAGAAACATGAATACATAAATCACTTGTTTGGTAAGTTCTAGTACTTAACCGCTGCTGATATCTAGTTGATTACCCTGTAATTTTACAAACGAGTTGCGTTCACTTTTGCTCATTATCCAACAATACACACAACGCAGCACAACGCAAGGGCCGGCCGAAGGTCTTTAGATTTAGGCGTCCGTAAGCCAATTAGTGCAGTGGCTCCGTGCCGGCGCTGATATCACTTTTATAATTTAATTAATCGATTATATAATTATACTACAGTAGTGACACGAGCCCCTCGCAGTGGTCGTATAGCCTCAAGGAAACCTGTAGTAATTACAGTATAGAAAGTGTTATATGGTAGGTACTCTCCCGCCCTTACTCTATGTATCTCTAGGCAAAACATCACACCAATAATTTGTTGTATATTTTTACAATTATAATATTAAGTAATGCTAATTTTAATTCAATACATTACTCGTGTTTCTGTTTAGAATTATGGATTTATGAGCAAAGTATTATTCTTCAGGTCGATGTAGAGCAGGTCACAATAAATGAATAATGGTAAATTTAGTTAACGTGTCCCGTACAATGACACAAACAGGAAAAAATATATAGACAGTATTACAATTTTTTTAAAAAGGAGTTCAATTTATTCATCTATAAAAGTATATTGCAGGCAAATATATTTAAAAAAATGGCTTGAAATATTTTTAACAATTCTGTTACATACAGTATGTATATATGTATCTATGTATCTGTAGCACAGTAGATCCAGCAGTAACAGACACATTGTGAAGCCTCAAGCCCGCCGAGCCTGCAATGCAGCGCCGCTTCACTGCTATTATTTATTTACGCCGCCCAGCGACAACTCACGAGCCAACAATATAAAAAATCTAGATCTAGATGTACAATATGAACGTGATGATTGTCCTGTCAGTTAGATTATTTGTTCGCATTATATTTATTGAAAGAAACTTATGATTCGTTAAAACATCAAATACTTTTCATGATTGTATTGTAAAAGCTTCTTCATAGACTATTAATACTGAATGTCTTTAAATTAAATTGACAATTCTCAAGTGCTCCTATAAATCTAAGTGAATAAGGTAAATTTTCATTTTATGTCATTTTATTTTCATTTGTGTAGACAGCTATGTATAAAATAAATGAATACTATAACAATGAGTTTTAAAGTAGCAAAATATGCATTAAATTATAATATGGGCACTTTTTACAGTTTAGGTAAGACAGTGCGTCTGTAACGCCGCGTCGGTATCCAGAGCGTGTCTAATGCAACGTAAACGCTTGTAGTTGAGAAATCGCATAAATACGACACTGTTAATCCATCGTTAATTAATAATCATAACAATGATCGACTCACCGGTAACGAAGCAGAACCCGATCTCAACGCGATGCTCACAGCACTCTACGGGTACACGCGTACAATGACACACATTGTTCACATTTGTTTCAGCAAATGAGTCAAATAGAGTGAGTGAGAGTTTATGAAGGTTTTGTTTTAATGTACACACGGCACACGTTCTCTAGCGAGATAGCGGGGGCCGACTGGTGCGCCGCGCCGCCTCGCGCACGCGCCAACTCTCGATCCTTACACAACCGGGCAAGGAGTTATGCGACCAGTTACTTGCCGGCATCTACTCGTAGCAGCAAGTAGCGAGTAGAGACGTTGACAAATGCCTTACTCTAACTTAGCGTAGAGTTCGGGATTTTCTATGTATTTAGCGCGTACTAATATAAAACACCCATTATCAAATGAATTATTTGTTAACTTCCTTCTGGGATACAATTACTGTATTTATTCATAATTAGGACCAAAACAATAGGTACTTTACTATAATTGTATTTTAGAAATCTAAATAAAGCTCATGAATTCATAGAAATAACGAAATTTTCTTTAGTAATTTTTTTCCTCGAATAGGAAAGATTATATTGGGTCAAGATCGTCAATCTTATATTAAAGGTCACACACGGGCGCGATGACTACTAGGATTGCGATCTTACTCAATAGGAACAGCGACTCCTAGCTCACAAATGGACACAACTGCCCCCGCGTGGGCTGAAACAGAAGAAAGTATCGAATAATTAAGGTATCGAAACATTTTTTAATGTGATTATAAAAATGCTTCGTATTTGACTTTTTAGTCTCTTATATTTTTGTACGAGATCCTTCCAAACATGTAGGTATCGAGGAACTTAGTAATAAAAAAGTAAACTAAAAAGAGAAAAATTAAAACAAATTGTGCATTTTATATATTATTTAATCAGTCTATCGTATTATAAAAAGAAACTAGTTAAACTGCTACATTACTCATCTGCCATAGAAGTAAAGTAGTTTTAGACATAAATTCGTGATATAAAAATACATTCATCCTTCCAAAATTTAATGTTTAGTATGTTTATTATTATTACATCAAACACAAACACTTAAATCACTAAATACATAATGAAATAGACATAATATCGTTGGAGTTCTCACCCTTCATCGCTCCAAGGTGAATTGTCGAGACTTTAGGACTAAGATTTACCTATTTCTTTAATGTTCTACTGTTATAAAAACCCCTGTTATATCTATCTGTTTATAATAGGTATATATAATACTGAAGTTTTTTCCAGACTAAGTATTATATATTTAGAATATAATATTTGAGTTTGTGTTAAATTCTACTATTTTAGCAATTTTATTCGATATGCCTCAATTATATGCCTATAATATTATATAGACCACGTTTGCCCTCGCGGGACAGCGTAACTGTTCCTGCCTCCACACAGTACACTACCTCCACACCATTGTGGAGGTTGTAAACGTGCATATTGTGTGACTCGCGGATGCGGACGATATGAATATATTTTGTATTGATATTTGATAACAAATATTTAAATTAAGCTGCTTAGGCGTTGTCAAAAAGTCTTACCGAAGTGAGAAGTCACGACATTCTGTCTGTTCACTGTACACATGCTTAAAGCTCGAATAATATGGCAATATTTAATGCATAGTTGCAAGCCAGAGTTCCTCAAACTTACCACCCATATTAATGTAACCCTATTAAATTTCCAATATCCCAATCTCCTTTAGAGCTCTAACGTCAACGGGAACGAACTATCAAGTTATTTCATCCGTAAATTGGCTTCCATGTTATGCTATCAATTATCATCTACCTATGAGTAAAATTCTAATTAATTTTCAAATAAAATTATAAGACATATTGCGATTCCCATTGTATCAGCTACTAGGATTCTAAACCTCGTACTTTGAGAAACTTTGACGAGGTCATCGAAAGTCTCGCTGCGACCTCGAACAAGATGCAGCACTGCGTCAAACACTTCTCGAATTATCTTATTATGTTATATTTTACATATATTAACATTTCATTGCAAAAGACTAATGCGAGCTACAGAATTACTTCAATTTGTTATAAGATACCTAAAATAAAATGTTTTTTGTACTTAATACTTTCTTAGATTTACGCGAATATTTGACATTTTAAATAAAACTATCTTTTTTTTATTATTAAGAAGTTAAACTTCTTTTAAATTACGTATAATAAAATATTTTTTAATATTCTTTATTGGTTATACATAATATAATAATAGCAACACTAAATAATATAAGTAATTAATAAACTTTTTTAAAAATTGTAATATTTATAATAATGACAGCTAAAATTAAACAAATAATATTGCTATATTTAATTATAATACTTATTAAAAAAAAATGTTTAGAAATAAAATCAACAAATATTGTAAGGTACTTAGGTGCCATTTTTGAATTTTTGAAATCGTTTTTGTAAAATAGTGGGTAAGCGCTGTCGGTAACAAGTATGTGTGTTTGAGTTTGTTAGTCTCTCCCGTGATTGCTGTAAAGAATTCGAAATGTCGAGAACCAAAAATCAAAATAAATCCACGAAATAATCCGAAAAGATAGTTTTATTTAAGACGTTTTAAATGTTAGTATAGATTTCTTCTATCCTATTATTTTGTTAACCCGGATAACCAACTATCATCGTCTGTCCAGTGGTTTTCTCGTGACACGTTCTCAGATAGACAGACAGACAAAAATTCTAAAAACGATTGATTCTGTATCGATAATAATGACCTAATTCAATGAGATTTTCCAAAAAAAATCGATTCGTTAGAATTTTGTTGCATATATGTATGTATAGATAAATGCCTACTACACGAAAAAAAAAACATTTTAGTTTTAGTTTTAAAATAATTTTCTTCAACTATTTTAAATCAATGTATTAATTATTAAGAGATTCAGTGAACGATGCACGTGTACTCATATAATATGCAGTTGGACGCCTCACGCCGCCAACAACGCCAGTGTGCAACAATAATTACATTATTATAGCGCCATACAGTGTAGAGACACGCGATGTTGTAAGTATTGGAGTTCTTTTATGTAATACTATATTACATACAATCTAATGCATGAACATGATAAACAAATTATATATTCTTGTTTTTTATCCTATTACAATTAACGTTTAAGAGGTGGCTACGTCTATCTAGTAGATATAACCTAGTAGTATAGAACCTATAAGTCTATCTAGTAGTATAGAACGAATATCGAACCTGCGACTTTTAGCTTAGTAGATACATCTACTAAGCTAAAAGTCGCAGGTTCGATTTACAAGGTAATTTTTTGTACTGAATTGTCAGTGTTATATCTTAGGTTTCAATAAATAATGACGTTGTTCGAAAAAAAAAAAGTTTTAGAACGTAACAATAGTGTCACCTACCGGGTCCAATTATGAGCTAAAAACTATTTAGGTCATAAGTCCTTGATGGTTTTGTGATGAAAAGACCTTGTTTTTTATCCGAAGATATTCAATAAAGAGATTCCAAATCGACATAATATAGTAAATCTTATTCTGTAGTCGGACATAAACAAATGTTGAGTATTTTAAATAAAACTATCTTTTCGGACTATTTCGCAGATTTATTTTAATTTTTGGTGCCCGACGTTTCGAATGTTTTACAGCAATCATGGTCACGGGAGAGACAGATACCACTTATATTGGCACAGTAAATTAGTTGGGATTAGGTGTGGTTTAATATTGGAGAGCTCTTAAATTTACGTCTTGTAATATACATAATAATTATAGTATAATTTATACATACGCTATACGTATAATTATAGTAGTTTTGTGAGGTGTCGATAGCTTTGGTTGACAAGTATTGAGCGAAGTGATCGGTCTAATTATGTAAGACAATGACATATATCAGTATAGAGAGGAATAAAAAGAGAAGGGTATAGGTGGGTAGGAGGAGTTGAGGAGAAGGACGGAGACGGAAGACGAGGCTAGGATCGATGCGAGCGCGACACTCCGGCGCCTGCAGCTTCCGATAGAGACACAGTGAGAGATATCGTGTAGCCTCTTAGTTATAACTTGTGATGTTTGTTGTGAATTTTGCTTTTTAAATTCTTGCTATCATATATCATCGTTATATTTATTCAATGTAAAATAAGTACTTTTTATACAACCTGTCGCACCCTGTTTCGCACAGATCTTTTCTTTCCCTGGGATTTATTTTATTATAATTACATTTTTTTTATATAATCCCATTGCTACCCGCTACATCTTGTTGATCTCAAGATAATTTTTTTCATAGTTGTTATCAATAAAAGAATAACCGTCATTATGCAGTATATCTCATATTCCTAAGAGAAGGTAATATAGAGTCACTTCTAATCTTATCTTATTTTATTAATATACCTTGAACTACTTGACTCTGATTTGAATTATTGTTTCTATTTTTACTTTATATGTATTTACATTGTACATAATATGTAAATGTTAACAAAAAACTAGTATATATTTTTATATAATATGTAATAATCTTAAATTTAAAGCTGTGATTTAAAACAATAAGGTCGCAGTGTGCCACAGCCTTAATCCCTATTTGAGAGCAGTCTGCACCAATGGCAGCCTCCCTCAGTCGCACACACACCACATTCCGTAATACAACTAGCTCGTAGCGGCGGCGTAGCGCCGTAGCAGCGTAGCGCCCTTTAGCTCTCCGTAGCACTCTGTAGCACCCTGTAGCTTACTACGAGTACTATGTTAGTTTAAAATTCCACAAATGTTATCAATTTCATAAAATATGTTGTGATAATATTGTCAAGTGAATTATTTTGCTGTACATTTTCATAATATATAACTATGTATAATTTTTAAAACTAATAATAATTTAAACTTCGATTTAGTTAAGGTTTAAAAACAAGAGGTAAGTTTTTATTTTTCATATTATATTAGAAGCGCATGAATTGATAATTTTAGATAAATTGTGTTAGTACTTATGCATATTGGTAGGCGTATGATAATCGTATTAATTTTGTTATAAAATAGTAATTTAAACATTTTAAGACTTTGAGGAGGTTTTATTATACAGTTAACTTATTTAATAATATATAGTATATTCCTTCGTCATAAATGCTATTTTAAGCATGATTGTATAAATACGACAATTAACGTCAGTACCGGTCTCGTCCGACCCCGCACGTGTAAAGTGCAAACTTCCGAGCATCGATTTGCAGCAGCAGACAGACAGACGCGCGGGGAAAATGGAAAATTCTTTTGTGCGATGAACTACTACTGATCGATTTAAACTCTTGAATCATATCTTGTCTGCATTCAGTCAGCTCAGCTTTGTGATTGGGAGTCAGCTGTTTGCTTTGTTTGATATAAGGGTATTGTGTATTGACGTTGGGACTTGTGTGTTGAAATCCGCACGGCGTCGGCTACTATAATTTTTTGTGACCCTCCTACTACACGAATATTACAGGTTCGATTTCTGTGCGGAGTGAATACTTATGAGGTAAATAAATAGCGAATTTAGTCTTTGTTGAAGTTCTATATCATTAGGAAACTCAATATCATAAAATAAACATTACATCTGTAATACTTGTTGTTTTAGCCTATTCGGTGACTATATCGGAAATATGTATCTTGTGTGAATTGTTTAAAAAAATCCATTCTAATATTCAGACTGCCTGTAGTTACAATATGCGCGATATTGTGTATTTTCATTTAACGCTAACGTTATCCGTGACTTTGAGTAGGAGCACGTACAACAGTTCAACTTGTATACTGGTCAGATTGAAAAATGAAAATATTGCAATCCAAACCAATGCATGATTTAATATACGTACAGATTTAACGTACGTGTACATAATAATATAATATTTTATACTCCGTAAGTCCGTAGTGCAAATTGTGTAAGTATTTGCACTGCCTTCAAAGTGAAAGGCAGTCGTAGCCCAGTGGTAACGCGCTTGCTTGGGAAATAAAATGAAGTGGGTTCAAATCCTCGGTCTCGTACTTCTGACATTTTCATGTGTGAATCATTTTTAATATGATTACCACTTGTCTTACGGTGAAGAAAAATATCGTGAGGAAACTTGTCTCCCAGCAGTGGGACGTTGAAAAGAGCTGAGTACATACATGTAAAGTGTGAGTTCTTGTGGCGGTGTTCATGCAGCATGGCGGGTCTGGGCGTGGGCGTGGGCGCTGGTGGCGTGTTGGCAGCCGAGGTGTGCGCGCCGCTGCTGCTGCTGTGCTGGCTGTGCTGCTGGCCCGACGACGACAGATCCGGTAACACAACGGCTTTACTTTTTTTGCTTACAGAACATTTTTAATGCATTTTCATCGATAGAAGGTTTTTAATCTTTACTTTTTCCGGTAATTGAGCGATTTTAATCTCCGATAAATGTTTGTTTCTTGGCTAGTATTAACTCTTAAATTTATCAACTTGCGATAAAATCTTGTGAAGTTGTTCGGCACGCGCGGTACCATATTTGTAAGATATGTGTTTCGCTACATATGTTTCGGCATCAACTATAATACGTAAATCTTTTATTTGCTTTCCATCTAAATGAAATTCGTGCTCAATAACGATTTTCAACATCTCATTTCGATCAAATATGCCGGGGTAAACTTCTGCTGTACAATTTACACACGATTAACGTATGTACTCTGTATTACACTGTAACATAAAACCTTTTTTACAAAAAAATAAAAACTGACTTCAAACAAAAGCACTAAAAAGTAAAAAATAACTGATTGGTAGTTTTCATTTACTATACATACCTAATCAAATATTTTCGAAGTCGGTGTGCTTTGCTTTGTATGGGCTGGCACCGATTCCGAAAATATTTGATTAAGTATGTATTTAATAGGTAGGCTTTAATCACTTAGCCAAAGCACACCGACATCGAAAATACTTGATTAGGTATGTATAATAAATGAAAACTACCAATCAGTTATTTTTTACTTTTTAGTGCTTTTGTTTGAAGTCGGTTTTTTTTTAAGTTTTTATTTTTCCCTTTTTAGTGTAGACAGTAGTAGCAAAGTAAGAATTCTAAAGTGTTAAGCTTGTCAAACCAAACAAAATAAGCCCAAACTCAAAGTATCTACTATTAGTCGTTGAAGAGTTCCATCTATCCACCTTCTGGCCTTACCATCAGATTAGGTCAACAATACCGAACCACTGTACTATCAACGGAAATAGAAATACTTGCAAAGTTTCAAGTCAATATGACAATTAGAAGTAGGTTAAATTCATCATTAGTTGTTTTTCCACCCTTAGGGGTGGTAATTTTTTTTTTGAAATTTAAATGAGACCAATCTGAAAGTATACCCTTTCAAACAAAACAAAAATTGTCCAAATCGGTTAATAAATGACGGAGTTCTGAGGTAACAAACATAAAAAAAAAACATACAGTCGAATTGAGAACCTCCTCCTTTTTGAAGTCGGTTGAAAATATGAAAGAATCACGTAAGAATACAGCAATTTAACCCGATTAATATACATACATACGAGTAAATACAGTGCTTTTAATTTACTTTTTATTCAAGTAATTTATAAATAAAGCAGCAATACGACTTTTTTCTTTGGTACATGTGTGTTATTGAAAGTTCTCGTCTTTTTGAATAATATATGATTAATCCACAAAGTATATATTAAAGTTTCTTTATAATTTATTGTTTATATTTGTATTAGAACTTAGTGAACGTATTGTAGAATGACTACTTGCATGCATATTATATCGGTGCGCATGACGTATGTATGTATGTATTTAAGTGTATATTGTTATTAAATATGTATATGAAAAGTATGTATCGTTGTTTGCAGATTCTAGTTCAGAAAAATATCCTCAAAAACCTGTTATAACGAACGGTAATTGGTTACCTGGTGTATGTACGTATTGTGTTTGTAGTCTCGTGCTTGTGCGCCTTTAGTGTAGTGGACATTATGTTACTTACAAATAGATACTAATTTATTTACTTATAATGACGAGTATGTATGTACCTATATTTTATTAATTTCATACTTTGATTTGTATTATACATAATAGCAGTTGATGCTTTTTAGTAATATTTGTATACGTTTATGAAAATGTTGTAAGTAAAATTTAATATTTATATTTAAAAGATTATTATCTTTTTAAGTCAAATTTTTACATTTCCAGAGTCGACTTCTCGCCGTCGCTCTCATGAACTGTTTGGGCGACGTATGGGCAGCAGCGCCGTGTCTCTTCACCTGCCGAGCACTTCTGGTAACTCTTTTAAAGTCTTTAGTAATGATTGAACTATAACAGTAATGAATACTAAAAAAAGTAATAGTTTGGAATAGATGTTAAAAGTTATAAAACATAAGGGGATAATATCGTAGAATAATTATGAAATAGTATACTACGAGTAAGTATAATATAATGTAGCAGTACAAATTATTTTAGGTAAATAGCCTTAAAGAGCTTTCTAATAAAATCTATGATAAACCTCTCTTTGCTTAAGTGCGTCCTTAGAGGCCTAACACTCAAATCATAGCTTATCCGTGCCTTAAATTCAATCCAAAACCGTCCAGCCGTTTCAGGTGAAGGAATGACATATACACAACACAATATATAAACATACAAACTTTCGCATTTATAATATTATTTATTATTATATATTCGTATTGCGTATGTTATTTTCTAGGAAATACCAAACAACCACTGTCAGCTCACAGAAGCCACGAGGAGATCCGCAGCAGACGCAAGTCGCAGCCGGAACCGGACGCGGACGTTGACGCGCGCTACCACTCCGCACCCAGCGTCATCGACGAAGTGCTGCACCGCCGCGACTGGGAGCGCTCCGCAAGGGATCTATACATACCGCTCAAGTCTGACAACGAGTTCCCTAACGACGACGCGTCCGACAGGTCAGAGAGAGACGATTTCGAAGAGAAGACCAACAATAACACAGTGGGTAGAACGTGCAAGAAACACTACACTAATATAAAGTCATCTCGGAAAAAAGATATGAACAAAGAATCACTCAACGAGGACATCAAAGATCAAGACGTTACCGAAAGTGTTACCAACTTCTACATTGGCGAATGCAGTACGAGTCCTAACGAGCCTACAAACGAGGTTAAAGCTGAGGATAAAGTTAAATATAAGGCTAAAGAAGCTAAACAGAATCTGAACGAATGTATCAGATCCAAAGACCGCCAGAGATGTCCTCTCGTGCCATTGACAGAGTTCCAAGTGGCCGGCTTCGAGATGGACGAGTTTAGCGACGTCGTGCTGGACCGGTCCGGTGCGATGCACCACTCGGTGGAGTCCCGGTCCAGTCTGTACCATACGCATACGATACCCGCGCCGCCCCCCTCTGTGGGTAAGGGATTGAAATATTGAAAAATTAAAAAAAAACTGACTTCCAGCCACTGAAAAGTAAAAAATAACTAAACAAGGGTTTTCATTTAGAATAGATACCTAATCAGATATTTTCGAAGTCGGTGTGCTTTGATTTGTATTGGCTGGCACAGACTTCGAAAATATCTAATCAGATAGATACCTAGTCAATAAGGTATTTATTCTAAATGAAAACTGTTTAGTTATTTTTCACTTTTCAGTGCTTTTAAGTCGGCTTTTTGAAGAACTCCTCCTTTTTGGAAAAGTCGGTTGAAAATTGACTTTACTCAATCAATTTGAATATTCTTAGTGACTATCATGTTAACTATTATTTTGACCGTATCTCTTTGATAAGTAATGAAATCTTGACACAAACCGGTATTTTTATAGATGTCCAACAGTACTATGTCTTATTCCAAATTATAGTTTACCTGTGATACTGAATATTGTCCAGTCATATACAAATTTCTGTTCAATCATTAACTGCCTCGGTGGAGTAGTGGTTAGCATGTACAGCTCTGCACACCCGGAGGTCCTCCTGGGTTCGAGTCCCGGGTCAAGCCAAGTTTAGTTATTAAATTGAGTCTTTCTATATAGTAAGCCTCAGTAACAGCCCGGAGTTGGGAAGTTGGCGGTATTTCACCCCCGTGCCTCGGAGAGTACATGTCGCGTCCGCCACTCTCACCGGTCGTGTCTCGTGTCGTCCCACCGGAGTCAAAAAAAATATGTATTTGTTCAGTATAACGTGTTGGGGGGGGAGTATAACGTATTTTAATGTAAGCTTTCGGTATTATATCCAGAAGCCATAGGATACGACTGGGAGGCATCATATCTGGAGGAGACGGGCGCGGCGGGCGTGTGGCGCGCGGCGGGCGCGGGCGCACTGGGTGCGGGCCGCGCGCGCCACGCCAGCGCCGGGGACGTACTCGCGCCCGTGTTTCGGCCGCAGTCCGGAGCGCTCTCGGGTACCGAATTACTTATTAATCACATACATGGGAGTAGTAGCGTCTACATTCTCTCGTTGAATATTCTCAGCAGAATTGCCTTTCTCACGGACTTACATACTGACATTTAATTTTAAGAAAAAAATGTAGAAATTGACGATTTAAAAGTGCTTGTTAAAGTTTATTTTCTTGACGACACGTTTGACATAGTTTGTAGTGACCCTACTTGCTGTCCTAACGGTCGCGGGTTCGAGACCCGCTGGGGGCATTCATTTGCGTGATGAGCACGAATGTTGGTACTCCAGTCATGGGTGTTTATATTTATTATACGACTGTATGTATTTAAAGTTATATATGTGTACTGTATCAACTATCTGGTATCCATAACACAAGCCACGTAGCTTACCATGGAACTAGATGGTGCTGTGTGTTAGTGTCCTAACATATTTATATCTGAATAAAGTACATATAATTTGATTTGATTGTAGTAAGCACTGAGTGTTTTTTTTAAATGGACGATTCACCAGCGTGTTACATACAGGATTCAATAGTCAGTGGTACACCATTGGAATAATTTTATTTATAATACATATACCATTATTAAATCCGAAATCTCGATTATTATTAAATATTGTTGCCAATTTGAGAAACTTAAGCAATGTATTAATTTTGGGACCGAAGAAAATCACCAGCTCATTTGACCTTAGAATAATAAATAAGAGAAAAAAATTAAAGAAATCTCTTGAATCCTATTATAAGTATTTTTTGTAGATTTAAGCGAATATTTGAAATTTCAGTCTAATAAGTAATTGTGCCCAAAATGTATTTATTGTTTTCAGTGTTCTGTACCCAAAGGGTAAAACGGGACCCTATTACTTAGACTGCGCTGTCCGTCTGTCTGTCTGGCTGTCCGTCTGTCACCAGGCTGTATCTCATGAACCGTGACAGTTAGATGAAATTTTCACAGATGATGTATTTCTGTTGCCGCTATAACAATAAACACTAAAAAACAGAATAAAATAAATATTTAAGGGGTCTCCCATACAACGACCGTGATTTTTTGCTCGTTTTTGCTTGATATAGATAACGGCAACAGGTAGACGCTTGAAATATTTTCAGAATATTTAGTTATATATTCAGTTTAAAAATAAATAATTAAATTAAAACAAATATTTACGGGGGGCTCCCATACAACGAACGTGATTCTTTTGCAGTTTTTATAGAATGGTACGGAACCCTTCGTGTGCAAGTCCAACTCGCACATGGCCGGTTTTTTTAATTGCAAAGCAAATAATTATAAGTTTTATAATTTCAGAGAGCGAGCTCGACTTCGAACTAGATGACTGTGACGAGGCGCCGCCCGCCTATCACGAGGTGCTGCGCTCCGCGCTCGGCGCGGGCGGCGCAGGCGAAGCGCGCGACCGGAAGGAAACCGCCATATAATGCTCATACGACCTGCCTCGTTTAGTTACTTTTAGAGTGCTTGTCATCGCTAAGAGTGTCGCCAGGCTATATATTATTTGTATACATTCGAGAGTGAAGAAACATTTTTATACGGAGATTTTCTTATAACTGAAAATATTTTTTAGGCAAATACACTATTTGTACTTCGGAGAAGTACAAACATTTTTTAGAACCACTAAATTATTCAATTAAGTGAACATTCTTTTAGAGATATTTTGTATCTGTATATCCCGGGACACTCTCACCGATGTTGCGAAGACTGAAGGCTAAAAGCTCTCATGTAATTAAAATATAACATAAATAATATTAAAATATTTTTCAAAATATTATATTGATATTTACAAACGACTAGCAACTCACCCTGGCTCCGCTCGGGTTCATCCCTACTTACGTTTTAACGTTTAGTATAGATTTCTCAGAGATGAGATATTTTCCTGCAGTAAAAAACATCCTATATTGTGACCCAAATAACCAGCTATTATCATACTAAATTTCATCAAAATCTGTCCAGTGATTTTCTCGTGATGCGGTTACAGACAGACAGACAGACAAAAAATCTAAAAACTACAGATTCCACCTCTTAAATAATAATGACTATTTCAATAAGATTTTCCAAAACATATTTAATGTACAGATTTGACTCAATTAGAATTTTATTATTATATGTATAGATAGATACACTTGAAGTGACTTATATATAACGTAATGTACGTAATTAGTAATACGATTACGAGAACTATATTTATAAATAAAAATGTAAAAATTACACGAAAGCTTTTAGATTCAAACGATAAGGTATTTAAAAGCTTTTAACAAATTGCCATCTACTTGTGGTAGTGATTGCGTCAATATTAAAACTCGTGCAAATTAAATATAATATATAAGAGGAATGTAGGGATATATTTTTGAAACTAGATTATTTTTATAATTTAGTGGGAGCATTTAGTAATAGTTCTCCTGCGCCGCTGCTCGCTGGATGCCTTCAGGGCTCATGGGAAAAAAAAACGGGTGCGTGTAACCTTTACGCGCGGTTGAAGTAAAACTTCTTTAGCAAATATCGCAATTAAATTAAAACAAATCAATAATTAAATAAGGCATATTAGGCATATTACAATCATATATTTATAGAATATCATATACCGAAAGAAGATAATATTGTATATTTGTCAGACAATAACAACGGTTACCATGGCAACATGGCAATGTATCTCATTTTCTCGCCGCCTTTATCCTATATATTTATATTTGTCTCTTTTTAGTGTCGCATTTCCGTTTCATCGAGTTTCAAATCACAACGATTCTAAAGAAGTTTCACTTCAAACACAAAATAGGTACATATATTTTTATAATTTCCAATGCAAATATACTTGTTGTAAAATTACCTTTCTATTAAGTTGACAAATATTTGCCAAGAATATGTATAATATATTTACTATCATGTTTGGCTTGTCATATTGTATCCCTTTGTTTTATAGGAAAAATTAATACAATACAATAAGTCATTTCAAACTTGCTGGGGTTGAATAACATGTGCAATGTAAGTACTTATACCATACAATTTATTCCGCCATGAATTGAAATTATAATTGGAAGTTTTTAAAGCTCGGTGCGAAACAATCGGGGAGCTGTTTACTATATTTTTTACTAATTTTTTGCAAATTTGGTCCAGTAGTCAATTAAACAAAAATAGGTATCAATTCTTTATCGTTTAATTTTACCTAAGCTTTAACTATCGCTTGTGTAATTTGTGATAAAATCGTCTGAAAAAAACTAAATGTTGATAGATATCTTGATAAAAGTAATTTATGTTATTTGCGATTAAGGTTTCTCAGTGGAGGCGGCACGCGACGCGACGCCTCGCGGGGGCGTTGATATGAAAGCATTATAGCAAAAACCGTTAGGCTTTAAAATAAACTTCTATTTATAAAACTGATTTTAATCATTTGAAAACTCAGTGATAGGCCTTTACTATATTACTAGTTTTATCAACGCTACATTGTAAATTATATGATATAAAAGTATTATGTTACAAAAACTAAATAGACTAGAAAGAAATGTTATAAAGATGGACCACTGTTAGATTAAAATGTAAATGAACCATACGAGTACATACATGCATCCAATTCCTGATTCACACAAAAACTTGTAGAAAAACGTGTTGTCTGTACTTATGTACGCACGTAAAAAGTTATACAGTTATACTTCTTTGGCGTAACAGAACAAAAATAGCTAAAGAGGTCATCCCGTATGTCATAACTCTGTTTGTAAAAGGAACGATAAATTAATAAAATAATTAAATAAGGCATATTACAATCATATATTTATAGAATATCATTTAAGGAAAGATTATAATATTATATATCATTTGTCAGACCATAAAAACGGTTACCATGGCAACAAACAGTTATCAGCTAACTTCATCATGTCACTTTTCGGCTGTTGGTGTACGCGCTCATCGTATAAATTTTACTCTCATATTTTTTTTCAAACGTCCCAAAAGAAGTATAACTTCATGACATGTCCTGTGTCATTTTCCGAGAGATGATTATATAAAATGTATGTGACTTACCTAGATAGATAAGAATTTTTAAATGTATGGATAAAGCATATACTTAAAATGCCTCTTCATATATCTGTCTGTGTTATTTCTTACTAGAGATATTATATTGATATTATTTATATGGCACTAATGCAAACTTCTAACTCTAGTAAGGAAATCTGCAGATAGGTTATTGGTCTTAACCCAAAAAAGGTAGGGCGTGTCAACCGCTTATCTACCTCGTATGAAGTGGATCGCTGGGGACTGTCGCTTCCACCTGTCATGTTGTACAAGTGTATAAAATGCTCTGATTAAACTTCGTTCTCAAACTTTTTACTGTGTTTTGATTTAACCTTCTCCTTCTCAAGAGACGGAACAATTAATAATCAATTATTCTTTCTCATATTGAAAAGTTATTCAAGTATCCATCTTTTGAAATTATAATACTTTCTTTTGTACTGATCAATAAGAAAACACATACTTAGTCATAAAAATCTACTGGTTTTAAATGAAAGGAAAAAAGTGAGATATTTTAGTTTTATTAGGAAAATTTAAATTGGCATAACAATTTTGGCACAAACATTTTATAATAACATGGATTCATATCAAAGTTTCATATACAAGTTGTACATACATATGTATATATAAAGAACGCACAGACTGTCGGTCGGAGGAAAACGATATCGTCACAACCACGACGCGGGAGTGCTTAAATACTTCAAACATTAACCTCACAGCATCACTCACCTTGCGACGACATACAACTCAAGAGAACTTATATTCCATACAGTCAATACTATTTATATCGTCTACGAATATATTTAGATGTACATACATATGTATAATACCATCTACAAATATATTTAAATTTATCGATGTATAATATAAAGCATGGCAAGTTATCACATGGTACAATGTTACATTATAGAGAATTATATATTATAGAGTATAGACACTAGCAGAAAGCGTATTTTGTTTATTTTTTATCTATACATATAATAAAATTGTAACTAAGCCGAATCTGTACATTAAATATTTTTTGGAAAATCTTATTGAAATAAACATTATTATCGATATAGAGGCCGAATCTATAGTTTTTAGAATTTTTGTCTGTCTGTCACCGCATCACAGAAAAACCATTGAGGGATTTTGATGACATTTGGTATGGTGATAGCTGATTATCCGGGTCAACATACAGGATACTTTTTACCGCAGGTAAATATCTCATTACTGAGAAAAAATACAAAAACTGCAATGTAAGATTATACTATAATATATAAAACCTAAGAGTTTAGTTTTTGGTCATCTGAACGCGGGCGGAGCCGCGGGCAATGCTAATTTTATATATGTTAATGTAAGTTACATTAGTCTTTACAAAATCTTATAAAATATCAGATATTGCATGGAATTTTACGCCACCGCCTAGCTCGAGGTAGTTCTGAAATAAGTATAGTATAAGAGATGTACATTTAATTATTCTAAATCTAGAATTTATTTCTTCGGTTAGGACAAAAGCCAAAGAGCGAAATAGCACTCACTATAATACTTTGCATATATTAGAACACTTCACATACACTTACAAGTTACATAGATATTTTACTACATTTTTAGAATAATATATTATAAAAAACGTTTTGCTTTGGTCTTTAATGGTAGTTATTAATATTGAAATAATTTATTTATTCTAAGAAGAAAGTTTCTAACTATAATATGAAATTTGAGGATGCTGACAACTTTTACGATTTTTAATTATCTTATTCTTACTATTCTTGGCACATTGATATAGACGTTGATAAGAGCAAGCCATGAACAAATTAGCCACAATTCGTTCATGGAGCAAGCGTATAGAAAATATAATATTATGTAAATATGTAAGAAGTTGTAATAAGAAATTAAATTTAGATTTCAGATCCCAATGACCTTCTCAGTTTACGTCTCCCATAATTATTAAATAAAAATGATAATAAATTTATATTTTTATAAAAATAGTCTAAAATGGTAAACTAATTAATACCAATCTTACAAATAATTAATAAATAATTTTCTTCATTTCTCCTAATCCTTTTCATTATTTGGAACAGTGTTAGCAGCCTTCTTTGGGGACGGAGACTTAGTGGGACTCTGGACGGGGTTGAGTTTCCCTGCTGGTGGTTTTAAAGTGTTCGGAGAGAGAGTAGAGGGAGGAGAGAGTGTCGAATATGGGGAGTTCGATGAGTGAGGGGAGAGTGATCGGGAGAGGATGCGAGGAGGAGGGAGAGAGGAGGATCTCTCGCCGGAGGTCCGCCGCGGGTGCACTGTATCCGTGTGGCCGGGCGGCAGCTGGCACAGGCGCGCCATGGCGGTGGCGCTCTCTCGGACACCTGCAGTCAAAAATATGAGATATTTAATTTGCTTACAAAGATTCGTTTTTTCAATAATCAACCTACTATTTCACAATACAATTACAACACAATTGCGACAGTTTTGTGTGTATGTGTTTTAGTAGTTCACGCTCAAATATCTCGGCGGATTTGGATGAAATCTAGTCACATACCATGGAGTACTACATAGGCTATTGTATACTTGCACTGACACTGTATATCAATTTTAGATACAATCTCAATGATGAAATGAGTTTTTTTCAGAATATTGCCTTGCACTATAAAGATAAATCTCCGCCAAAGGAAAACTGGCAGCTTTTGTGTTTTGACACCTGTTGGTAACGAAATGAATGGAAAAGTTAGTTGATTTATATCGCAATCAGATTTTACGAGTTTAGTATATATAATATTCTAACAATTTACACTACTACAATAAGAAAAAGGATGTTTTTAAACAAACATTAATTATTATTATAGACCATTAAATGTTATTAGTAATTATATTTAATTAAAAATAAGTTTTAACTAATTTAGTAGATACTATAGATACTAACAGTTGCTAACTTCTTAAAGAATTCAAATAACTCGAATCATACAAGTCGGTTCTCGGTTGAAACGCATTTTCATTTCATTTACGGTTGAGCAGGAATCAAATCTACGTCCATCAGCAAGCAAGTGTAATGCTAATTGCATATTTATCAAATTATTTGGTAGGTACTAATATAAGAAATGTCATACTGTGTTTCCATCCATCCTAACATTTAGATTTATAATATTTTTATTATAAGATTTTGGGATTAGTATATCGCAAACGTATACTAGGGATGCTAGTAGTATATATTAAAGCAGTGTGACCTGGCTGCACCGGATACGAGGCGGGTTTGGTCGGCGGCGGCGGACGCACTGACTTCACCGGCGACGGCAACGGTTGCGAGGCTAGCTCTGTAAAAACAAACATAATATAAGTATTAGTTATACTAACGTGTGTGTAATATACCATTATATAAGTCATACAAATTTAGGTATAGTTTAGTTTAGATAATGGAATACTCAAAATATTTAAAACGTCATCGCGAGCTCATATAAAATGACTTCGCTATAGCTCTCGCTAACACAGTAACTAAACTAAGTAAACTTAAAACCTCCCTAACTCGGTTCATTTTGACCGGAGGCAAAAAGTCATGATACTTTTTCATGTAAAATTTGAAGCTCTACATATCTTTATAAAAACTTTTTTGTCTAATTTTTACCGTTTTCGAGTAATTGCGAAAAAACATTTTTGAAAATTTTTGTTCATACCTAGCCGGGGGTTTATGACACGAAAACCTTTACACATTGTTTTTGTATAGTTAAAACTACATTGTATCAAAAATGCAAATTTGAGGTCCAAATTTTGATTTTAGACCATATTTGACTGGACTATTATGAAGGGAAGCTTATTTTTCGTTGAAGTATAGTTGTGATAAAGTTGTTGCAAATAGTGAGGGTCTATTCCGCGTACCTTTACATCTCCGTATGCAGAAGTAGAGGAAGTAGCAGCAAAGCATCACGAGCAACGTGAGGATGCCCGCCATCGCCACGTAGTAGGCGGTGTGCGAGGGCGGGCGGGCGCCCTTCACGGTACCCATCGTGTACTGATCAATTATAATAGAAAATAAATAATTTAATCTGTTATTTTTCCTTAAAAAGCTAATTAGGAAGCTTTTCATCTTGATAAAATTAAGCCTTATTTAGATATCCTTTAGGGCTTCAGCGAAGTAAGCCTGGACGATTGCTTGTTATAGATACTTTCGCATGCATGCTATGGTTAAATCGATTAATTTTATTTATTTATACTCGTAGTACGAGATATATTAAATAACATAAGAATTTGAATCATAAATTCATAAAATAAAGGAATTGATGGTATCCCCCTCCCCTCTTTCTTCATTAGTTTTATTTATTATTAACAAAATAAATTAATTCAGTAACTTTTAAAAATTATTCAGTTCATTCTTATCCGTTAACTTGTTTATATGCAATAAACGCAACCAATGCGTTTGACTCGAAATTATTTTGAGATATTCGTGACAAGGAACTACAGTTCGTGGAGTAAATTTTTACTACTGAGAACTTGAATCGCCATCGTCTTAACTCTTAACTCTTAAGAATAATTTTACCTACACTACACCGTCGGATATTATAACATGTTTAACCTAAATCTAAATTAAATATATCTATAGGTAGGTACTTACTAAAGTTTAAAAATAGTTGAACCCAAGCAAATTTTTTCGTTTCTTCATTACGTTTTTAGAAAAAGTATGACAGGGAGTTCCTCTTTAATGTTTGCAATATTCCAATATTAAAATTTTATATTTTTTTATACTTTCACCGCACTTCACCCGCGATAATTCAAACAATAATAAACTTGGAATTGAGTAAATTTTGTAACAAAATCGTTAATTTTGATTATTTTTGATTAGTAATCACGTTAACTGATATGACGATTTCTAAGGACGACGGCGGCTTTCCTCAAAGCACGCAAAATTTGATTATCACTCTCTCTCGACACAATTCATTCCCTGCAGGGAGATGTCGACTTTTCTTATGGGTTAGTAAGAAATTGTGACAGTGTCAACTTATGGGGTAGTTGAAACACAGCGGGTGAGAGGGGGTGTGGGGGGTGCGTGGGGAGGAGGGAGGACCAACGCAACAATTGTCAGCGACACTCCGGCGCCGAGACGTCATTCATCAGGGCTGTAAGTTTTGTCCCTTTAAAAAGCTTAAGAGAGTCGGTACAAAAATGCATTTCTTTTTTTCTTCTTCTCCTTATCCTTGTCCTTATTTTAAGTCGCGTGAGGTCGGTACAGCTTGAATTTATAAATATGAAATAGTGAATTCATAATAAGAGTATCGAGATTCAAACTCTGTTTAAGGCATACATACATTTATAAGATAACATCAAATATGTAAATGTTAATATTAAGTATGTATGTGTTAGGTGTCAGGTGGCAGCCCTGCCCAGCGGAGGCTCCGGCGCGGCGGCCTTCGACGCCTCACGCATGCGTCGCACGCACCGTCGACGTTTTTCATCTTTGCCCTCTCTCTGGTCGTTGAACTCGAACATCTCATTTTCTATACTATTATCATACTGCTGACTTCCTCTTACTTTGCTCGAGTGCATCCCCAAGTACCCTACATATTTATAGTATTATGGAAATTCTCAGAACTTAATTTACAAATATCATCATACCGATAGCTTATTTTCGTAATATATTCATTAATTATAGCCTGTAACTTCCCTAAAAAATCCCTTGTTCTATTGGCAAAATCTTATTAAAATCCGTTCAGTAGTTTTTGAGATTAGTCTGAACAAACACAACAGGCGCAGCGACCGAATAATTTTTATATGTAGTGATGCTAAAATATTTGTCTAATTCGGCCAACAGAAACTAATTTTTCCTTAACGATTGGTTTAAATGGCGATCTTGAGCTGACAGTAAAATATATTATTGTTTTAATCAAACAAAAGATTGTATTGCCTAAATAATAATAGCAATACTGGAGGATTTCATTTTTCTAATTCAATATTAAAATAGATTAGAGACGTAATCTAAGCTTACAAAGCTAGTAAACCTCAGTATCTACTTGTACGTTTTGTTACTTAATTCCCGCACAACTTTATGTATTGTTATATGGTTAAAAAGAATTTCAATCTGTTTATCCATATGTATGGATAAATAGATTGAAAAACATTTTGGCAGATGCGACACGCATTAGTCACATCTTGCCGCCCTCTACTCGACATTGGGGAGCCATTAGTGTGGAAAATCCTAGAATCGTCCTGCTTATAGTAATTCGGAAACAAAACAAATTTAAAACGAGGCCTTTAAGGTCATAAGATTTTTACAGAATTTCTGAAGTCTGAACCCATTATCTAAGTCGAATCTGTACATTAAATATTTTTTGGAAAATCTAATTGAAATAGACATTATCGATAGAGTCCGAATCTATAGTTTTTAGAATTTTTGTCTGTCTGTTACCGCATTACGAGAAAACCACTGGACTGATTTTGATGAAATTTGGTATGGTGATAGCTGGTTATCCGGGTCAACATATAGGATACTTTTTGTCGCGGGAAAATATCTCATTTCTGAGAAAAAATACAAAAACTGCATTGTAAGAGTATACTAATATGTAAAACCTAAGAATTTGGTTTTTGGTGATCTGAACGCGGGCGGAGCTGCGGACAATGCTAGTAATATAATAAAATTCCAACTGAGTCGAATCTGTACATTAAATATTTTTTGGAAAATCTTATTGAAATAGTAATTATTATCGATACAGAGGCCGAATCTAGTTTTTAGAATTTTTGACCGTCTCTATCTGTGACTGCATCATGAGAAAACCACTGGACTTATTTTGATGAAATTTGGTATGATGTTAGCTGGTTATCCGGGTTAACATATTATATATATATATATCGCGGGAAAAATATTTCACCTCTGAGAAATCTACATATACTAACCCGAGCGGAGCGAGGGTGAGTCTCTAGTTTGTGATATAAAGCTTTTTGGCGCAACTGCAAGAGACGTTCTTATATTATACCAAAGTGCTCGTTGCTAGAGCTCATTATATTAAATAAGTCTATTTAAATATTGAATGATTGAGTTAATATAACAGAATAGTGCCCAGAGTAGAAACGGGGTCAAAAAGTGATAAATAGGTTTACGAGTAATAGAAAGCCTCTGGAGAATATCACTATTGAGCAATAATCATAATATGACTTACAAAAACATCTAGAAGGTATTTTTTTAAATAACAGAATAATTATATGCCATCCAATACCCTAGTCCTTTATTTCAACGAGATGAGAACTGTCTTACATGTTAGCTCAAACATAAAATGATCTAGTCAAACAAACTGCTAAGCGCTTCCAACTTTTTGCACCTCATGTGTTTTAGCGGTTGGTATACCTAGATTTCTCAGAGATGAGATATTTTCCCGCAGTATAAAGTATCCTAAATGTTGACCCGAATAATCAGCTATCATCATACCAAATTTCATTAAAATGGCACCAGAGTACCTCACAATATTTGTTGATTTTTTAAATTACATACATAATAATAATATTGCTTAAATAAATATTAAATTAATATTTTTAATTTTCTTCGTGGTTATACACATTATAGGAATAGCAACACTAAATAATATTATAAATTAACAGAGTTTTTTAAAAATTGTAATATTTATAATAATAACAGCTGAACTTAAATAAATAATATTACTGTATTTAATTTAATACTTATAAAAAATAATTAAAATGTTTAGAATTAAAATCAACAAATATTGTAAGGTATGGTATGGTATGGTATGTTTGGGCTATTTTCCGCAACTCGACGACTATGCGCCTATTTTGCGTGTGTGGGAATTTAAATTCTTGTTACTCCTGCCATCCCAGTTCCTCCAGGAAGTTCAGCAGCCTCTTCGTCTTGTCGAAAATTTCTGGGAGTGACCTGGGGGTGCCAAGATGTTGACCCCGGTACGCCGCTACACCTGGACAATACAAGATCACATGTGCAGCCGTTTCATCTGCCCCCATGCATGCCCTGCAAAGTGGACTGTCAGTTATACCTATATTAAATAGATGTTTGTTAAATGGTCCGTGGTCGGTTAAGGCAGCTGTTATTTGCCTGAGTTGAGGTCTGTTAAGTTTGATGATACGGTTCGACATTTTGGCATCAATGTTTGGAAGCGATTCTTTCGCCTGTCTGCAGTCTACCACTTCACGCCATACATTGTTATGTTGGCGTTTAGTGCGTTGTCGAATTTGGCCTTTGAGCCAGCAAGAAGGTAACGAGACGATGGGCTCCGGTCCTATCGCCGTCATGTCCGAACCTCTTCTTGCTAGCTCATCCGCCCTCCGTTCCCCCACGAGTTACTGTGGCCTTTGATCCATTGTAAGGTGATCTCATTCCGATCACTTATCTGTGTCAAAGCGTTATGACATTCATAGATCATACCTGATGTGGTAGAGTTACTATTTAATGCCGGTAGTGCTGACATGCTGTCTGAGAATATGCAGTTTTCCACCTTCTTTGTCGCAATTGTTCTAGCTGCCTCAAGGATAATTAGACTTTCAGCTTGAAACACCGTGTTGTAGGTACCTAGGGGTATTGAAGTTTTAATGTTTAGATCATCGGAGAAAATGCCACAGCTGTATTTTATATTTTTTGTCAAAAATGTATTTTATTTGTATTCCATTATTGGGTGCTCCCATGAGAGGAATGTCTTTGGCTACGTCTATCAGGATTTTTGTGTGTGGAGTGCCTGTTTTTCTTAGCAGCTTTTGACTATCTAGTCTTATCGCGGTAGTCGCAGCCTCTTGTTGTATGAACAAGTGAAGCGGTAAAAGGTTTAGCATGGCTTCGAGAGCTGCGGTTGGTGTTGTTCTCATGCAGTCCGTCAGTCATGCACTCCAGCCTTTGCCAGCTTTGTAGCTTGGATTGTGCTGTACTCAAAAGTGTTCTACGCCACCATACTAGAGCACCATAGCTGATCATAGGTCGGTAACCGATGTATAGAGCCATAGAGTTATTTGGGGATTGAGGCCCCATTTTTTACCTATCATCCTTCGGCATTGCCAGAAGGTGATACTGGCTTTGTTTAGTAAATTGTCTAGGTGTTTGGACCAATTTAGTTTACTATCTAGAGTAATTCCTACGTATTTTACCTCTGTGGTTAATGTTAAGGTCGAGTTAAAGAGTTTCGGCAAGGTGTAGCTTTGTGGTTTATGCCATTTTTGAGTTTTTGAAATCATTTTTGTAAAATTGTATTGTTGGGTGGGCACAGTCTGTAACAAGTGTATAACGCCTTTGAGATGTCTAAAACCTTAGTCTCTTAGTGTGTCGTGACCATGATTGCTGTAAAAACCGACTTCGAAAATATTTGATTAGGTATGTATAGTAAATGAAAACTACCAATCAGTTATTTTTTACTTTTTAGTGCTTTTGTTTGAAGTCGGTTTTTATTTTTTTGTTAAAAAGTTTTTATTAGTGCTTTTGTTTGAAGTCGGTATTTATTTTTTTGTTAAAAAGTTTTTATTTTTCCCTTTTTAGTGTAGACAGTAGTAGCATTCTAACGTGTTAGGCTTGTCAAATCAAACAAAATAAGCCCAAACTCAAAGTATCTACTATTAGCCGTTGAAGAGTTCCACCTATCCACCTTCTGGCCTTGCCATCAGATCAGGTCAACAACACCGAACCACTGTACTATCAACGGAAATAGAAATACTTGCAAAGTTTCAAGTCAATATGACAATTAGAAGTAGGTCAAATTCATCATTAGTTGTTTTTCCACCCTTAGGGGTGGTATTTTTTTTTGAAATTTAAATGGGACCAATCTGGAAGTATACCCTTTCAAACAAAACAAAAATTGTCCAAATCGGTTAATAAATGACGGAGTTCTGAGGTAACAAACATAAAAAAAACATACAGTCGAATTGAGAACCTCCTCCTTTTTGAAGTCGGTTGAAAAATTGAACTGACAAAAGGAAAACAGAAAAACGAGAAAAGGTTCATTATAAATCTCAAAAACTTTCAGCATCCCCGAGCTTTCACAGCGGAAACTGGGGATGTGAAGGCTTTTTTTATTTGAAGGTATAAAAGCTTAGTATTGAGGTGTAATTTTTTACTATTATCGATGTTTACGCCAAAAAATTTTGAAAATACGTTTCTGGTTTCTAATTACTATCGCACCAATCAGACAAAAGCGAGCTGATTATTATATTAATGCGAAAGTGTGTATGTAATATTTTGTGTGTAACGTTTTAAAGTTTAGTATAGATTTCTCAAAGAAATTTTCTTGCAGTAAAAAGTATCCTATATCTTAACCCGGATAACCAGCTATCATCATACCCAATTTCATGTAAATCCCTCCAGTGGTTTTTCCGTGATGCGGTCACAGACAGACAGACAACAATTATATTCAGCTTTTGTATCGATAATGTCTATTTCAATAAGATTTTCCAAAAAATATTTAATGGATTTGGCTTAGTTAGAATTTTAGTATATGTATACATTTGTTATTTCTTCACGCTAAAAATATGGTTGAACAAAGTTAGATGAATTTTAGTACCCGGATAGACCTTTAATGTGACACTCCTGACTGCTGCTTAAATAAAACCATGGAATATTGTGAAACAGATTTAATAGAATACAAAATTATTGATCAGTCGAAGTAACATTAAAATGCTCGGAAACAAACTACTTAATGGAGAATTCGTGGAAATACCATACATTGTCAACCCCAAACTTGCACCTTACAATTAAATTGTACACATGTTTTAAATAAAATATAGAATTTTTCATAATTTTTAAAAAAATATAAAAAAAACTTAATTATAAAGATACTACGAAATTTTGAAAATGTAGAGCGACGTGCAACTTTAGTATTTTTGATTATAGCTAAAATTTACACTAAAACATTTTATCTTTCAATTTGTTATTTAACAATCCACACTAAAATAATTAATATTTCATACTTATGCTACTATGTTCTATACGCATGTATATATGTATGTACATATGACATAAGTAATAGTATATAGTACAAGCAGCAAGTATGGAATAGGGAACATGCGTGTGATTTATATAAAAGTAAAATATTTTTTTATAATATTTATTGCTTATGAATTGAGCCTTTACTAAAAGTGTAAAAACAGGTGGGAAATTCGATGTAGTTGAAACGCAACGCCATTGGTCAGACCGAATATGACGTCAGAGTATATCACAAAAGAGCGACTAGCGATTTTGTCTCTACAAATCGAGTCGTCATTTCTCGGTATATATCATACTGTGACGTCACACCAAGCGCACGAAATAGCGGGCGTTTAAAGTATCCGCATCGGTATATTTTTAAATATTTTTATACTAAATTTTAGTTTTTTACAGCTGGATATTTTTATTACAATTATATAACGATGTAAGCTATTGTACATGAAAAAATCGCGCATATTCCCCTATTGTCTTTAGATTTTTAAGTTTCTTATTGGCATCATTATTTATTATATTTATAAAATATATATCTGAGACAATCTTTTCTGGCATTAGCTATAATAAAGGAAAATACAACTGCATCTAATTAAACATATATATAAACTTTTGCTATGTAATGTACAGATAATATATTTTATTACAATTCAACCATAGACTATCCTGAAATAACTCGTAAGTATATAATATATATTACATAGTGAGCTATAAATAAATTTATAAATAATACGAGCATTATTCTTGTATCTACACTTATTAATTACTAATTTCGGAAATGATTTGGCAACTTTGAATTAATTCTATTGTGTATTTAATATAAACTATTATAAAAATCGAGAATAATTCATAACCATCGATCAAAGTTCTAGATACACAATCCCATGTAAACGTTCTCTTAAAACTGTCACCGATTGTGTTCAGGTAATTATTCTACTTGAAATAAATACACAACAATGTAAATTGAACTTTAAATGCAGCGCGTATAGTTGTTTTTAACCCCCGACTCAAAAAAAGGGGTGTTATAAGTTAGACGTCGATGTCTGTTTGGGTGTGTATCTGTCTGTGGCATCGTAGCTCTCAAACGGATGAACAATTTCGATGCGGTTTTTTAGCACCGAAATAGGCAACCCATTAGCAGCTGTTGCGGTGTGGCAAGTGTCTCAAGGGTGTGTCTCGTTTTCACTTTGGGACCGCGCACATTTACACTGTTATCTCCATAGTCACCGGCGTTCACCGGTGGCGGTGGAGATAACAGTCAGGCTTGTCCCTGGGTCCTCTTCGGAGTGTGCAGCGCCTTTCCATCCTAGGCGTGATCCAGGTGGTGGCTATGGGGTGAGATTCCCTACGGCAGTCCAGTCGGGTGGGATTTTCGGAACCCGCCAAGTCTAATGGCCTACTTCGGTTGGGACCTTGCGAAGGCCGTGGGTGAACCTGTAAGTTGGGGTTGCACCCCATCTCCCAGAAGGGTAAAAACTGACGCAATGGAAAATTATAAAGTAAATATGGACCACCCCGACCTCTCACAGGAGTCGGGGAGAAGCCAGAATCCCTCCTCTTCGGCTCGGCCCGACGATCGCCGAGTCGTCTCTAGTAATCTGAACGTCGCCGAGTCATCTGATTTTGACTGTCCACTTTGTGGGCGGTCTTTCAAAACCAAGACGGGGCTTGGAGTCCACAAGGGTAGGCCCACCCCGCAGAGGCAAATGTGGAGGCTGCTCCGAAACGGGTGAAGCGTAGGTGGCGCGATGAAGAAGTGCTTCTCATGGCACACACGGAGGCGCAGCTTATGAAGAAGTCTGGGAAGTGCTCTGGCTCAGATCTGCACGCCAAACTGCAAACTTCCCGGGGGAGAAGCCAACTCCTATCAGGCGCGTCCCCAGGTGGCAGGGGAACGCCCCGCTGTCCCCGAGCGGCGGGTGGTACCAGAGAAATCCGGCGCGGACCAAATGGCTTGGTGGGACCGCTCGTCTAGGCCTCGAACTGAAAGGTTCGCCAAAGACGTTGCGGCCACCGGTGGTGGGATCGCTTTGGTCCCATAACTGGATAATGGGTGCCGGTTGCGGGACTGTGGTGGCAGGCCCACATCCGGCGGAGGGGTAGACCGCGGCGGGAGAGGAGTGCCGGTATTTCGGTGCCGCTCTCCCTGTCCTCTGCAGCTGATTGAAGGTGGACCACTTCGGTGGGCGGAGGTTTGGTTTAATGGGGCTGCTCCGGGTACCTCTCTGATGTAGCAGAGTTGACTGTGAAGCAGCCCCATTGGTTTAGTGGTCAGCCGTTGGCAGACCTGCCGCCGGGTCGCCGTAGTAGTTATGCGCAAGCGATCCTGCGGCATCCCACTAGGCATATAATGTCGGATTTTAGTGGGTAGTACCGGTTCTTCTAGCTGGTGAGCCCCACATCACCACCTGGGGGATCAGATGGTTTGCGTAAATGCATTTCCCGACACAAAAAAAGGTGGCGCAAGGAAGAAGTGCTCCTCATGGAGACTGGGAAGTGCTCTGGCACAGACTTGCACGCAAAACTGCTACAGCTCCAAAGGACGCTGGAGGCGGTTAAGGGAAAACGCAGAGGAGAGGACTACAAAAGGTTGGTGGAAACTTTTCTGGAGGAGTCCTCCATTCCGGCGCCGGTACTTTCTGCGAGCGGGCGCCGGAACAAGGACCGCTCTGGAGTAGGGCAGTCCCCGGGTGCTCAGGATGAGTGCACCTCTGCAGACATGCCGCCCGCTGATGAGCCCTATACCGCGATTAGGGCTTCAATCAGTCCTAACGCAGAGCAGGTGCTGTCTAAGTTCCTGCTCCTTTGGGTAGCTGAAAAACGGCGCAAGCGATGCAAGCTGAGAGCAAGGGCCGCGAGGCGTCTCCACCTATACGGAATTGACGGGTGAGTGCTAGAGAGCGCTAGAGAGCGTGGGCGCTCGTTATCTAGCAGAAAACGGAGACGAGCGGAGTACGCGAGGGTACAGGAACTGTTTCGGAAGTTTCCGGGTCGATTAGCGGCTGAGATAATCACCGGCAAGTCCCGGGAGGTGAAGAACAGCCTTGAGGAGTTGGAAGCCTTTTGGCGATCTATCCTGGAGGAGGTGTCGGAGGCTCCCACGGAGGTCTCATTGCGAGCCTTGCGGCAAGCTAGAGGCGCCGAGGGGGCAGACGTGTTTGACCGGCTGTGGCAGTTCATCTCTGTTGAAGAGGTGAAGGCTACAAATGTCGACCTGCAGACGGCGCCTGGTCAGGATGAGTTCGAATGAGTGGCGCGTGACCATTTGAAAGCGGAAATGTTCAACTTCTGGATGGCAGTTGGTGAGATTCCGGACCAGCTTAGACAGTGTCGCACGAACTTTGTCGCAAAGACGGACTCTCCTAAGCGACCGAGTGACTGCCGGCCGATTTCGGTCGCGTCAGTACCAATCCGACACCTCCACACAATTCTGGCGCGAAGGCTGCTGGATTGTTGTCCACCGGACATACGGCAGAGGAGATTCATCCATGCGGATGGGACCCTCAAGAACACTGCGGTGCTCGATGCCATGCCAGGCGACAGTCGGAGGAAGTTGCGGGAGTGTCCCACAAGGCGCTGCTAGAACTCCTGGGAGCGAGGGGGCTACCCAAAGGATTCTGTGACTACCTGGCTCGTTTGTACGAAACGGCGACTACTACCTTAGCTATAAAAGGAAAGCAGAGCCAGCCTGTCAAAGTGGGACGCGGAGTCCGCTAGGGAGACCCGCTGTCACCTGTGCTGTTCAACATGGCCATGGACGGTATCCAAGCCTCTCTGCCTAAGGGAGTCGGCTACGGCCTTGGCTCTGGCTTATGCTGAAGACCTGATTCTCCTTGCGGGATCCAAGGTAGGAATGCAGGAGTCTATTGACAACCGAAGTAAAAGCTCCGTCCTCTCGATGGTACCGGACGGCCACCGCAAGAAACACCATTATCCTACCTTACCTACGGAGAACTTGTTCTTGTTTGGCAGGTGACTTGCGTGGAAAGATGGCGCTATCTTGGGGTCGATTTCGACTCGTTTGGATCTGCGACATTTGAGCAAGAGGTGTGTAAGGTCTTTGACAATATCTCTAGGGCACCTCTCAAGCCGCAACAACGGCTCGAATTTGTGAGGGATCACCTCATTCCGAAGTTCATGCACGGCGTAGTGCTGGGGCAGATCTCTGACGACAGACTCAGAATGTTCGATGTCCGGATACGGAGCGCGGTGAGGAAGTGGCTGAGGCTCCCAGCTGACATATCAGTGGGCTACTACCACGCTTCCGATAAGGATGGCGGGCTCGGAATGCCCTCGTTTCGTGTGGTGGTTCCGGCCACCATCGAGCGGAGGTATAGCGAACTTGCCAAGTCAAGATGGCCCGCAGCTTCAGCTGCCGCCAGGGCCGACCGAATCCAGAGGAAGTTGAGGTGGGCTCGCAGGTTGCAGAGGAAGTTTGGCATGTCCAGCGCCGATGACCTAATATCTGTGGCGAAGTATTGGCAGGAGAAGCTGCACGCATCGACAGATGGATTCAAGATCCGCGAATCGTCCCGAGTCCCTGCATCCACAGAGTGTATCAGGAAGCGAAGTGGGCAGTTTACCGGTCGCATTTACGTGCAGTTCGTCCATTGTCATATATACGCTCACCCGTCCAAAATCCGGGTTTCGAGGGGGCGAAGAGACGGCGTGGACACTAAATGCCGCGCCGGGTGTGTGGAGAGCGAAAGGTCGGCCCACATTATCCAGCAGTGTTTCAGGACTCACGGCGGCCGCATCAAACACGACTTTGTCACAAGGGTTGTCGCCGAGGCGATGACCCAGCGGGGCTGGTCTGTCGAATTTGAGCCCAGAATCGCGACCTCACTTGGACACCGGAAGCCCGACGTCATAGCGATAAGGGATGGAGTGGGAGTGATTTTGGACACGCAGGTAGTATCGGGACGACGCTCATCGAGCCAAACGTAGTAAATACGGGAAGCACGAGTCAAGAAGGTTGCAGCTAGACTAGGACTGCCTAGTGCGGAGTGTGTCCGGAATACTTCCTGCACCATTTCTTGGCGAGGCGTATGGAGTGCCCCCTCCGTTAAGGAGATGAAGGAACTCCTCGAGCTTGACAATAACGTGTTCGGTCTAATACCGAGCCTCGTTTTGAGAGGGTCCTATACCAACTGGACCCGTTTTAATCAGATGACGAGCCGCATCACTTCGTGGTCGCCGGACCGAGCCTAAGGGGTCCTGTGGACTGGGTTCCTGCAAAACTCAGTGATCCCGGACCCCACGCGATAGCTTCAATCGTAGTGCCTCTGTTGCAATTTCTCCCGGATCACAACAAACAATTTGCAAAATGCCGTAACCAAACGCTATGGGAGTTCGAGAGCTTAGGTCATTCCCGGGTATGCCCGTTTAACGGGGCATTAATCACTGATTCGCGGACGAACGCAAGCGGCGGAAATAGCCAAATGCCTCGTCATCTAATTAGTGACGCGCATGAATGGATTAACGAGATCGCTATCTATTATCTAGCCAAACCACAGCCAAGGCAACGGGCTTGGGAGAATCAGCGGGGAAAGAAGACACTGGCGGGAAAAGAAGGTGATGACGATTGGGCACAGGCGGGTGTCTCGGTGGTGGGTGTTTTTGTTTTGAGATTGGTAGTTAAAAAGAAATTAACCATAAACGCCTCATGTCGGTACTCGTAAAATGTCAGAGTGTAAAGTCGGTGCGTAGTTGCGTCGATTACTCGCTTCTAAAAATAGTCGACGAGAGAGAAGACGAAGGTGAAACAGCACACACGCGCTAAGAGTAATTGTTTTTAGCGTTTTTATATTCTAACATTAAAAAAAAAAGAAATCTCTACAGGTAATTAACTTTAAAAAGAACCTAACGTAATATTATTTATAAAAAAAATTGTAACGTTGTAACTCGTACAATCGCTTGCTGCAAATATAATTTTCTCGATCTTATTCAAATAAAGAAAATTATAATAATCAGCGTCATCATCATCATCATTTATAAAGAGAGCTCATTTAAACATTTAAACGCGCTTAAAATTTTGTAGTTTGTGAACTTTAAGCATATTGCGTTTAAGGTTCAATTTACATTGTTGTATATTTATTTCAACTAGAATATTTACCTAAAACACAATTGGTGACAGTTTTAAGAGAACTTTTGCATGCGATTCTAGTAGTTTTTGATCGATGAATAATCGTATTAAAATTTGGCTAATATTAACTTACAAGTCTTCGAATAGTTATAAATAACAACACCCTACACTTACTCAGTAGGAGTAGACTTTGATGGCCAATTTTGGTAATGTTATTAATAAGACTTAATTAAGAAACATTCATCTATGAGAGATTTTTGAAGTCATACTTCTTTTGGCACGTTTAGAAAAAATTATGATAGTAAAATTTGCAGTTAGTAAAGTATACGCGAGTCGCCGACAGCCAAAAAGCAACATGATGAAGTTAGCTGAAAGCGACACGATGAAATTAGCTGCATTCCTTTGACAAACAGAGAGTGACATACGGGATAAAATTTTTAGCTATTTTTGTTCTGTTACGCCAAAGAAGTATAACTTCTTACGTGCGTACATAAGTATATACACACGTTTTTTTTGAATTTTTAATAAAAAATTATTTGCAAAAATCTAATATATAATAATACACATGGTCGAATAACTCACTTATAAACGATGAAAATATTTGTAACGTTTAGAAAATGCCAGAAACCTCTTGTAAGCGTAATTTCTTTATAATGGTACAAAATGCAAAGAATTATTTAATAAAGACATAATATAAGGCGCGTCACACACTTGCGACGGAGACAGAATGATTAACGCTACCGTTATTATATACTCAGTCTTACAAACTATATTATACTTATATTTGTTCAATAAATCACATTCAAACATTGATGGAAAGAAAAAAATATCTGTTTTTTTTTTAAATCTCTAATGGTATAAAATAAAAAATGGCCCTGCTTCTTCGATCAAAATCAACTTAAACTTAAAATATAAAAATTATATAAAACACGCAACATCGTGTCGCAGATCCTTAGACATTAGGCTCCCTACACACGAGTAACTAATCGCTACGTTTTGTCTGGTTTGAATGGAACCAATAAGATTCCCACAGAGGAATAGTCGTTAGAACACACGAGGAATTATCGCTCAGGTAAACTAAACAAAAATACCTCTTTTGAAAAAAAAAAAATACAAAATAAAAACAAATTCTTGGCAAATTCCCTTCCTTTTTAGAGAATTTTAATTTTTCATTTAGTTTAGCACAGTACTGCTTTATTTTATTAGTGTTCCTACATCGGGCGGGTTCAAGACCAGACGGTAACTAATTAAAAGCGCTCGTCTGTAAGAGGACTTACTAGTAAGGTATGTTTATACTTTTGACAAAGAAAAATAAATCACTTTGATCTTTAGATTACGTAACTGAAATTCAAGTCTCTTCTATAATCTTCATATACAAGATGATATATTGTGTACTACTTGCATGTTCTTTTATTAACAACATTTTTTGTCTGCAAGTTCTTTTAAAAAGCTATAACTTAAAATTTTGCTTTTGTTAAAAATATTATAAATTTCGACATATTTAACAGTAATTATACCAGCCTGTATAATGTACATATTGTTGAGTGTTTAAAAACTACATATTGGAAAGGCTATGTTATATTTAGAAAACACAAAACTAAAAGAAACTTATAATAAATTGAATTACAAATAATAATTAAAAGGATATGACAGGCAGTGAAACTGAAGCCGCGTTGCAATCTTGAATTATGACATACAATTAATATAATTATGTTAATATTTCGTACAATAAATACAAAGGAACATGTCGGTGACGGTCGCAGCGCCGAGTATTGAGAAAGTAATAGAATTCTTTACAAATGCTACTATTTCCGTTTAAAATTATAAATAAATTGTATATATATTTATTATTAGTAAGGGTTCCCTAGTAAGGGTACAGCACCGACAATACCTTGCGGCACGCCACTGAGGGCCGCTGACGAGTGAGCGGCGACTGATCAGTGACCAGTGAGCAGAGGCCAATGAGCGCAGTGGGCACACTAGCTTTGAGTAATATACAGTTAATGCGTCGGGTGTGGGGCCTGAGGCGGAGCTTTCGAGACCGCTTGGTCATACGACGGCGGCAGCGCTGGAATAAAATAAAATACAATTCATTAAAAATTTTTGCTGGCATTACATTAAAGTAATAAAAAAATGAATATGTGGTGAAAGCTAAATTTATGCAGACACATTAAACATTTTATTGAAACTTCGGATGAAAATACAAAGTATAAAATTTCATTTAAATAATATATAAAATATATATATATATATATATATATATATATATATATATATATACATATTCAACATCAATAATGAACAATTTAGTCTAATATAATATGTTTAAAATATAGATAAAATCTGCTTAAACTACCTCTATAATAGCAAGGGTGCAACCATCGATCAAAAAAGTACTAGATACACAATCAGCAACAAAAAATGTGCTCACCGAATGAGCGCTCATTTGAACATTTGAGCGCGCTTTTAATTTATTTTTTCTTGGGGAAACAACTTTAAACATTGCATTTAAGGTTCAATTTACATAGTTGCATATTATCTAAACACAATTGGTAACAGTTTTAAGAGAATTTTTGCATGGGATTATGTATCTAGTACTTATTTGATCGATGGGTACAACTAAAATAAAGTCAATAATATAAGCGATGATGTAAATGAGTGGATAATCAAAATCAACAATCAGTGTAGACTACCTACTGGGCCGATTAGGGCTGATGCCCAGACTCCAGTCGTCGTACGCGTGATCTACAAGTATTTAAGAATATTATAGCGCAAAAAGAATATTATACCGTAAAATGATAAAATCGAATTTCATAGACGTTCCGTTTAACATCCTTCAGCGCATTTAGAGCCCTTAGAGTAATTGTTTAACAATCACTATAAAATAAATTTTGAAGTGAAATTTCCTTAGAATTGTTGTGATTTGAGACTCGATGAAACGAAAATGCGACACTAAAAAGAGACAAACACAAATACATAGGATCAAGTCGACGAGAGAATGAGATAGAATACATTGCCATGTTGCCATGGTACCCGTTGTTATTGTCTGACAAATATATAATATTATATTCTTTCCTTATATGATATTCTATTAATATATGATTACAATATGCCTAATATGCCTTATTTTATTATTTCAAATAGAAGATGTGAAAAATAATAAAATTAAAATAAATAACTGAATAATATGTAATGTATATTTATGTCAAATAAAATGTATAATAACTTTTAAACTTGGTAAAAATATTATAAAAAAAAAAACCTTATAATTATCCTACTTCTGACACTACATTCATCTCATTCTCTCGTAGGTTACTTTTCTGAAGTTTCAATTCTACCGTTTGTGAATTGCACACATACGCACTTTTAATTTCTTTTCTATAGTTTTCACTATCGAGATCGCTAGTGTGTGTAGTACAAGTCTGTGATTAAATACTGTCATTTTACAAACTGTTCTAATACATATTACTCCTCAGTTCAAGTAATTTTCCAAAATATGTATAGAAAATCACAAAAATTAATTCTAATTTCACAAATCTTTTGTATAAACTATACACGTGTTGAAATTTTTAAAATCAGTTTTTCGGTTGCCCATTAGGAAAGTTCTTTATTTACAAGCATTGTTTGCGATTCTATTTATTAGAAGTTTAACTAAAATCACAAACTTATATTGTAATTCAAATTACAATTAATTTATTTGAAGTTTACACAACTTTATATTCCTTTAACAACTTCGACGTTTTGTAAAATTACAACTGATTTGTTAAATTACAATGTTTTAAAATATACTTTCAACGCATTTTGTAAAATTACCATAGAATTTTTTTACAGTGTACTTTCGAGTGGTTGTTTATATATAAGTATGCCTTCATTACAGTTCAATCTAAATATTGTACAAAGGTCGAGTAGTGTTATTTAAGTTTTGTTAAGAAAATTAAATAGGAAATAGCTCAATCAATTTGATTATAACAGGACAAAGTGACCGACGCGCGAGCTCACCATATCAATGTTTTCTGTCACACTACCCGCCACAAGGTCGCGCTCGAGTCGAGTACACTCATGATTATCGACGCGCAAATTCCTTTACATGAATATTAATGGAAATAATGATTAAAAGATACTTGATCCTTTCGGTATTTTTCTGGTATTTTTTGATTTTTGTACTAAAAATATCCGAAAAGATAGTTTTATTTTCTTCGCTCAAGCCCTGTGTGTCCTACATTAGTAATTTGCAAATCCCACGAGCACTAATTAATTACTTAACATTACCCTAATTAATAGTATCGCTTAGAAGTTATGTCACTTTTAGGGTTCCGTATCCAAAAACGAAAAATGGAACCCTTATAGGATCCATTCGTTGTCCGTGTGTCTGTCTGTCTGTCAAGACTCTTTTTTTCAGGAATACGTGGAGGTATAAAGTTGAAATTAATATCCAAAACTCAGAATGCCTTGGAGCTATGAAAAATATCATGGAATTTGGTAAAAACTAAGAAGCAATGTGTTATATGACAAATAAATAAAAAAAAACCGAAAACTAATAAAACTAATAAACCGGTAACTTTAGTAACATTACAAAAAAAATGGGTGTAAAGTAAAACTTCTTTGGCAAATAGCGCATTTAAATTAAAACAAATCAATAATTAAATAAGGCATGTTAGGCATATTACAATCATATATTTATAGAATATCATAAACGGAAAGAATATGATATTATATATTTGTGAGACACAAAAAAAAATTAATGTACAGATTCGGCTTAGTTAAAAATTTATTATAAGTATATATATAAATAATTAGTTTATTAATAAGGAAAAAGGATAGCAAAGATCATAGCAGTGTCGTTACGTCCGTGGGTGTATAAATAGATTTGCGGTCAATCCTATTATTATGTTATATAAAATAGTGGTAAGTTTATAACCGATATAAAATATTAAAACTGTAATAAATCCAACCCTATTATGTAACTTATTCACATAAGAAATACTACGAGTATATATAGCCCTTTTTAATCCCTCAACGACCGCGGACACGCCGGCGTTACAATCGACAATAGATTTCTTAGATATTTTATTAATTTCTTAGAAATTTACCTGGAGGTGTTAAATTCAAAATAACTATCACATATCTACGAGTATGCATAAATAGCTGCCCACGAAGTCTAAATAAAAACATGGTGCAACAGCTATTAACTAACGTCTAGACTCTAGATCATAGATTACTAAAATTAATATTTGCTAACAAAACTTACTAATATGAGAATGTAGATAGGATTTGACTACAAGTATATGCAAAGACGCCACTATCTGGCTTCACGAGTGAGCAAAGTATAATATTAAAAATCGGACAAGTGCGAGTTTTACTCTCACACCGAGGATTCCATAGTATGAACCATTAAATTTATATCTTGTTTTAAGTTTTAACGTACTCATTTGTGATGTTAAATATAAAATATTTACAACTATGCAATTATTCTTCTTTTTTTAATTTAATCATAGAATTGTTAAAAGGTTCTCACGAGACGTTACTATACCTATACTAATTTCAGAAATATAGCACATATTAAAATTAAATTAAATAAGTCGTCGAGTAAATTCGCTCTGACATCGGACAGACGGACAACACAAAATTATAAAGGTTTTAACTTTTAAGGAACCCTAAAACGACGTAACAATCAAATACAAATACTCAAGGCATTTTCAATAGGTAAGCCAGTGACATCAGAATACAAACATAACTAATATGTTATTAGCTTATTAAAATAAAACAGTAAATCGTGATAAGAAACGCTTATTTCCTCTGATACACTTAGTTATAGCGTGGCTCGTACAAATGAGTCAGTATATTCTCGCACATAATGCATTTATTTTTTACTGCCAGTGTTTAGATACGATAAGAAGATACTTGTTATAATATTACATACAAGAGTTGTGCAATACTTATGTATTGAAAAAAGTAATTTTAAATTATTTTCATTCACTTTATCTACTGTTTAATGTAAAATAATATGTTTAATGTAGTACTAAATAATTTTAACAACCTTTTAATAAATTTCATACGTATTTTATAGGAAGTTTTTATTTGTAGGAAATCTGTTTAACTGTAATTTTCTACTCTTTTTTTATTTTTTGGATATTTTCCTTTATTTGTGCTGTGAGACCTTTCTTTTTGCCAAATTTCGTGATTCTAGGTTAACGGGAAGTACCATACAGGTTTTCGACCTAAAGGGGATCGATCGATAGGGTACTTCCGGTTGACCTAGAATTGTCAATTATGGTTAAAAGCAAGGTCTTACAGCACAAATAAAGGGAAAATTCCTAAAAATAAAAAAGTTGAAAATTAAGGTAAATTTTGGTACTTACAAGTTTTCGCGAAAATCTAAATTTGCCCGTATCTTTTTATCATGTTGGCTCAGGGCCCAGATTTTTGTACACCTAATAGGGACTATAGTCCTCAGTATCTGGTATAAATTTATTATATAAACTTGCTAGGTCCACCCGCTCCTGAGAAAATCGGTGGTGATACACAGACAGACTGACAAGAGAGTGATCTTATAAGGGTTCCTTTTTTATCTTTTGAGGTACGGAAACCTAAAAATCATTAGAACTGTATCACACCAGAAAAAGACATCGCGTAACATACAAATGAACATATTCAAATACATATATATCTGACTTCATACTGACTTGATAAACTAAATTGCACTATATTCTGTATCACGACATTCATATTATCAGTACATAGACATCGGTTTAGTGACTGACTGATAGTGATACATATCTACATATTTAGTTCGTATCGTATACATACTCGTATGTACATTTGTAGCTATAACTGCTGTATCTATTATACATTTTGACATCCATAATCCCTAATAATATTATAAATTTGAAAGTGTGTTTGTTTGTTTGTCCTTCTTTCACCTCCCAAAGGAGTGGCGGATTGGCGTCATTTTTTGTGTGGGGATAGTTGGAGGGCTGGAGAACGATCATAGGCTACATTATACCGCGGGAGATTACCTAATTCTATAATACAATCCGAAAAGTATTCATGATCAGAATTACTTGAAACTTGGTATTCATGCTCTTTAATAAAATTAAATAAATACATGTTTTAGCATTTTTCGAAATTCATCCTATAAGGGGGTAAAATTGGGGATGAAAGTTTCTATGACACTACCTTTTTAGAGATTTTTGCAGTTTTAGCGCGACCAAAGCCGCGGGTTCTGCTACTTTTAAATAAAACTATCTTTTCAGATTATTTCGCTCGATCTTTATAATATTAGTATAGATGTAGATTATTAGATATATCGCTGGAATTTTACTGATACTTGAGAGACACATAACCATAATACAAAATTATATACTTTTAGAAATATATTGTATACGAAATGTACTCTAGACTTAAGTATAAGAAAAATCTTTTGTATCGTATTTATATATTTTTTTAATTAATATTTATTCGTGTCTAACATCGAACCTGTAGTCGTCATAAACAGATTAATATAGATTTATTTAATATGTACAGATTTTTTACCAACAGTATTAATACCACTATACCTCACTTTAACGCGTCATGATAAGAGAGGTCAAGTCTGCAAAGGTCAAAGTACCTAATTATATTGGAATGATATAATATATCATCCAGTTTAAATAAAAACAATCCAAATACTTACCTATAAAGAACTTACTTTCAAACTAACGTTACACTCCCTTTTACATACGCTTTTTCATTGTCCCTTTATTTCCGGGATACAATGGCCTAAGTTTAATTAAAAAATACTGTCCCTAAAGTCCCTAAGGGATATGTCATTACAGAGTGATATAATTTACCATTTACTTACTATGGCAGGAAGAATTTAAAAAACACCTTAGTTTCCTTGACGCTACTAAAGTAAAAATAAAGTTATAAAATATAGTATCGAGTGAATAAGAAAGAGACGTAAGCTGCGATGGGTAATAACGGGTTGCCTTTGAATAACACGCATTAGTATGTCAGTAACAGTGTTCGCACAAAAACGTAAACACGGAAAATGTTTATAATATTACTGTTATTATTAATACCATTCGCTGCCTGTCAAGAAGTGGAATTCAGTACAAGACCAAATAATGTTAGTATACTTCTTTTATATTTCACGCAAAGGTCAACGGAGACGGCAACGATTTTGTCACCGTTCGGTCTATGGAGCTTGATGTCGGCCATCTCGTTCGGCGCTACGGGCGATACGTACAGGGAGATTTTTAGAGCCTTTCTACTGTTTACTGACAAAAATAGGTTTAATACCAATTATAAAACTTTAATAGACACTGTGTTCAAAACACCCACAAGCGGGGTAAATGTTGCTAATAATAATTTTATATTTATAGATACAAATTTTAATGCAATGGAACGAGACTATAAAAATTTTTTAATAGAAAATTACAATTCGTCAGTTGTGTATTTTGACTTTGAGAATTTACGTGCGACTGCAGACAGAGCTAATACACTAATCAGAATTAGGTCACCGCCAGTCACAAACGTTTACACAATCGAAGATTTTAGAGGATCTTCGCTGATGATGAGCAATATTGTATACTTTCAAGGTGTCTGGTCCTTACCTTTTAACATGTCAAATACAAGGCTTGAACAGGTGAACGGCGGAGAAGAGATAATCCCCGTAATGTACCAGCGAGGAAAAGTTCCCTACAGTCATTTGGATTCGATGAAAGCTTCTGTAATGGAATTAGCTTATGGCAATGATGGAAAATACTGCATGTTGATCATAACTCCTGATCCAAACGTGCCTTTGATGACAGTATATAAAAAATTTGAAAAAGTTACTTTCAGGAACATATTTAACAAACTTCAAAATGATGTAAATGAATTTGGATTGAAGGAAATTGATATAAAGTTGCCAAGATTCAGGAAATCATCTTACCATTACTTAAAGAAGCCTTTAAACGACATGGGTATATATCAAGCCTTTGAGCCGGAATTAGCTCGTTTCCAATTAATAGCGAGGGAACCAATTTATATAGATGCGATTGAGCAAAAAACAGATTTTTACATAACTGAATATGGTACGGTAGCGTACGCTAGCACTCCTGGACGAGGGAACAGTAAACAAACTGCACAAGATATTGCACCGTCTAACATGTTATTATTTATAATAGAAAAGACCACAACCACTATTATTTTTGGAGGAATATTTCCTTAAAACCTAAACTACTTATAGATTTTTTTTTGATTTAATATTTATAGGATTGTGTCTGGCTGACTATAAAAATACCTATTCTTTTTCAAGATAATTCGTCGTTCGAGCATATAGACATAGAGAATGGACTGAGCAATACTGTTATGAAATTGACCACTTTCTAGAAAGAGAGAAAGCGAACGTGTGGCCAATACCTGTCTTCTATTCCAATTTGAATTTATATGCAATTGGAAGGAAAAAAAAAATATTATTGAAAATTATAATATTATAATGAAAAGTTAAATACTAAAATGTTTATAAGTATCTATCCTCATTAATCGTATGGCCACACATTCGTTTTGTCTCTGTCGCGCCTTTCCGCCATTTTTAGCTGACGGCTGGCAAAGAAACAGTCCACTCTCTATGTCTGAGGTTATTGTGTAAACTATATCATTTAAAGTTTTATTAGAATTTAATATAACAGGGAGCATTTAACGTTGTTACATAATGAGACTAAAATAATTCCTTTGAATAAACATTTAATACTCAGGTTACATTTTCTTTATGATCCTAGATAACTCTTTGCCTGCATAGTACTTAAATTTGTTATATTTTAAACTAGCGACTCACCCTAGCTTCGCTCGGATTCGTCCCTATGTTGATTCCAAATACAAACTTACATCCCCATTTTCACCCCCTTATGGGATGATTTCCGGGATAAAAATATGTCTATATAAACTTTACCTCTTTATAATATTATAGTATAGATAAATTATAATATTTTAGTTTTGCGAATTGTTTTTTTTTATTCTGTATAATCAAATTTGCTTTAAAAACTACCAACTAGTTTTCGCCCAGTGATCGAAATTCGACCATAACCAATGTTGAAAAAAGACTAAACTGTTTTTATTTTTTTTATTGATACCTCAGCAGAGTACGCGTGTAGCCCACACACACGCATACTCGATTTTCCAAGACATAATCTACGAAAGTTTGAGTAACCCTGTTTGTTGATTCCTTGTGATTACTGATTTAGACATCACAATGGTAATTAAAAACCCACGACACAAGAAAAATCTTTTCTCACTTCTTAGGCATGAAATAAAATATTTAAAAGCTACTCCGCCATGACAGTGTTGGAAATCGTTTTTGCGTGACAGGTTTACATTACATTCAATACAAATCTATATTCTAAATGAGCAAATTATAAATGTGGCATGCAACGACCTTACAGTGACAAGTGCATGGAAACTACAACAGTTCTAGGAATAACGTGACATGTCCCTATCACCGACCTTGTGGGTTCCAGCCCGGCGCGGCCAGTCCAAAGAAAACTGACAAAAAATATGCCATAAATACACAAATGACTCACAAACACTAAATATAAAAAGTATTGTAACACTAGTGCTATTCTGTAAGAACTTAAATGTAACACGACGTCGACACCTGAATCAGCGATTATACTTCATACAACTGTATGAATGTTCGCGGATTCAGCTGTCAACTGTAAAAACAACATTTCTTAAAATTAAATTAATTAATAATCATTAAAACCATTAAAATTCTCATAAAACCAAAAAATCATTAAAAAATTTCTGAGAAATCGTATCAATTGTGATTCCCTGTCAAAAAGTCGAAAAAACAATCTCAAATTTAAGAGTTAAGTTTAAGAGCTATAAGGAAGAGGAGAAGTTATTACTTTCAGTTTTAATAACTTTTGAACGAGTAGATTTATCGAAAAAAAAATGATAAAGGACATTTTTTGCAGAGCGTTCAATTCCCTATAAGAATGTGTTTTGTTCATTGGAATTTATCTATTGGTTTTTGAGATATAAAATTTTGAAATTGAAAAATATTTTGATTTTGTAATATTTATATGGAAATTGGAAATTCGCGATGTGCAAACTCTAAATTAATTAAATTTAATATTAAGAGTTCCAGTACTTACACGCATCTTTTCTCATTTCCCTAAATCTATTTCGTAGGGGATTTCGAAAAAAAAAATCAATTTTTTTGAACCAGTATAATTTTATACAGATATAAAACCTAATGAATCAAAAATTTCATTTGTGTGAGTGATGCTTGATAGTACGTCTGTTGAACGTGCCTTTTGAGAATACGATTATAATAGTTGATACTTTGGTGGTTGCATGCTAAGTTAATATACTTATGCTTGCGCAAGGGTAAAGGCTTATTAACACGATAACAAGACATGTTAATCACATCAAACTGTGTAGGGCAGGTTTTATATTTGTGTGGTGCTGTCATATTTTATAAATTATATGTATAATGTATGTGTGTGTATGTATGTATGTATATATTTGTTTGTCTATGTATGTATTCATTTGTGGATCTCCTTAAGATTGTTTGCACCCCTTCCTTCTCTTTTTCTTTCTCTGTACCCAAAGGTTGCCTAGAACAGATCGCTCTCTAGCGATAAGGCCATCTATTTTGCTATTTCTCCTTAATCTATTTGATTTGAAATTTGCGCTATTTGGGTGACGTCATAATAATTCTACTCCAGCAATATTATGCGACTTGATCAAATATCATTGATACATTGTCAATCACCTCGATAAGTGATGATGAAATCGTTAAGAAAACCAATGAGTCACAATTCAGTTGCAGGTACATCGACCTTAGAGGATAAAGAGAAAGACAAGCACTCACAAATCACTATTATTATGAGTGTGCGCCGCGGTTTCACCCGCGTTAAATTCGTCTTATTAAAAACATCAGTTTTACAATAAAGTATGGAAGTCACCCCGATTTGTTGACATTTATGATTACTGCTCTGCTCCCTTGGGTGGTAGCATGATGATATCATCATCATAGAAAGCCTATAGCCTATATAGCCTTCCTCAAGACTATAGGCTATGTAACGCAAAAAGAATTTTTCAAATCAAATTAGCAGTTCCTGAGATTTATGCGTTCAAACAAACTCTGTCTCTTTATAATATTAAATATGGATTTGAAAATTATCAGTACATTAATGGGACAAAATTAGAAAAATGTAAGCTGTACATTATATATCACATATGAAAATACATACTAAATAATTTTATTTACATTTACCAATTTTTCCAATTATTTATGCCTAAAAATATTTATTTTGCTTATAAATATTAATGTAATAATATATTTTTAGGAATCGTCCACAGAATAAAAGATTACTAAAACCCGTTTTCTTGCTTTTTGTCACAGAATCGCAAAAAATGTTTAAAAAAAATATTCATATTATTTGTTGCTTGTAAATCATTGATTAATTAGACGAAATTACGTAATTATCATAGTTGAGTGTAAAAAATAGAATATATTATTAAGGATATTTTTTTAGCGTAGCTTCAAATAGTTAAAAGCAAAAAAAACACTCAACACGTACAGTAGTAGTGTGTCCACATGTGTGTAGGTACATATGTACGTATGTATGTATATATGTATGTATGCCCATGTCGCATGTGTGTCACATGCTACGAGTGTGAGTGTGAGTTAATATTGGCATTAATATGTCGGGACGTTAACACACAACACCATCTAGTTCCATGGTAAGCTACGAGGCTCGTGTCATGGATACCAGATAGTTGATACACTACAAATATATAACTATAAATACATACATATTATAAATATAAACACCCACGACTGGAGTACAAACATTCGTGCTCATCACACAAACGAATGTCCCCATCGGGACACGAACCCGCGATCGCTGGCACAGCAAGTAAGGTCACTACAAACCGAGCCAAACGTGTCGTCGTGGCATGTTTTTATACATTTTCACAGTAGCTTACCGTTGGCGTCGGGCGCGCTGGGCGCGGACGGGTAGCTCGCACTGGGGTAGGGCGCCGGCGGGTAGCCCTGATACTGCGCGGGCGGCATGGCACCCGACGGGTAGGAGGGATAGGGCGCCGTGTTGGCGTGGTAGGGGCCCGGCATGGCGGGGTAGCCGGCCGGCGCGGCCTGCGTCAGCGGGTAGGGCGTCACCACCGGCACTGTCAACAAGTGTTTCCTTATATTTCTGATATGATCATCTATGAACTTAATAGTTTCTATAAATACCGATAGCTTTATATATTACAAACTGGTTATCTTCGCTTCGCTCGCGAGCGTTGTGCGTCCCTAGGGATGAATTATTAAGGAATGCAAATAGGTCAAACATACAAAGAAGAAATCTATTTTTGGGCCAAAGTTTTATCACAATCGGATAAATGGTTTAGGAATGCAAAGAGTATAAAAATAAAAAGATGGATACATTTTTATTTATAAAGATATTTTATGTTGGCCACATATACGCCAGATGATAATTATGAATTTGGATGGACATAAAAGAAGAGGTAGAACGAAGAAGGTATATATGGACTGTGTGAAAGAGGATATAAAGTGTGTGCGCGATCTGATCTGACGGAAACTAATATAGGGAAATCGAAGAAGGAAACATGTTGTGCCGACCACCGATCACACATAGTGTGGGATAAGGACAAGGAAACGAAGTTTTTTTGTTGGTCACAATTTATTTTCTCTGAATATAATCCGACTTACACAAGTCTACAAGTGAAAAGTATTATAAAATATTCGCTCAACGTATGCAAAAACGGTATTAGAAGTAAATTAAACAGTTAATCCTGCAGGTCAGCCGGAATGAGTCCCGCGGGTGACCTGTTTTCAGTAGAACGTGAATTGTCAATTGAGTTCTAATCAGGAAGTGGACTATACCTTTATTAAGTCCAGTCTTGTTTTTCTAGTATTTAGAGCACACTAAGGTCTACGTTTGATGCTCATTTTGGTGGTTATTGAGTGATGTGACGAGAAAGCACAAATAAAAGATTATGTTACGTCACTAATGAAATTGTAATGATAAAGTCAAAACACACGTAAAAACAGTACAGAAGGGGAAAGTTTAGAGAAATAAACAATAACACAAATAGTTACGGTACAAACACAAGAAGTCCACATACAATAACTTATAAAAAACGTTTAAATTATGTCAAGCAAGTAATTCGCATTAAAAGACGAAGCATCGACTGTTCGTTAGTAAAAATTAAAAGTGACCGGTAGGTGCAAAACAAATTCAGATCTTCCGCATACTACGGATTTCGCGCGGCTATGCTTGTGAATTTAATAAATATGAATAAATATTATTTAATAAATATAAATAATTATGTATAATAATGTATGTAGGTGCGTAGATAATATAAATACGTAAATTAAATATTAAATAAAATATAAATATTATAACCCTGAAATGAAAAGTTTAATCTATACATATAATAAAATTCTAAGTCGAATCTGTACATTAAATATTTTTTGGAAAATCTTACTGAAATAGACATTATTATCGATACAGAGGCCGAATCTAGTTTTTAGAAGTTTTGTCTGTCTGTTACCGCATCACAGAAAAACTATTGGAGGGATTTGATGAAATTTAGTATGGTCATAGCTGGTTATCCGGGTCAACATATAGGATACTTTTTACCGCGGGAAAATATCTCATTTCTGAGAAAAAATACAAAACTGGTAAGAATACAGCCACGATGTTATTACGAGTATATAAATTTTAGCAAGGTAACTTACTAAATAAGGCAAAAACTATTAAAAATAGCTTATCTTGAAAAAAATAATAACAATAGCGCTATTTTATTTAGTTTTTGGTCACTGATCGCGGGCGGAGCCGCGGGCAATGCTAGTACATAAATATGATAAATTAATATATTATAGTATAAGTCGCCTACACTCATTGCCTCAAAAAGACCATGGTAAATTGATATTATATAATATATATGAATGGAAAAACGGGATCGTTTTACTTAAAATATTATCAGTGACAGACTAATCTATCGAATCAGCAAGTAAACTGTAAAACAATAAAGCCACATTCCACTACACGTAAATCTAGTAACATTTATTGTTTTAAAGGAATATTTTATGAATAGTTTATAATACCCTGGAGGTACCGTTTACTCAGCGGCATTGTCACTGATGAATCATCTCATGACTACTAAGACTCAAAGATTCTTCGAGAACTGTCCTTCAGGTATAAATTGTATATATTGGGAAGTAGTATCAGACTTTCGGTCATGGTGTTAACAATGAATGGAGGAATGCTCATACCGAGCAAGTTTATACGGACATGTTCGATTTTATAGCGAATGCATTGCTAGGCAAATAATGATCAAAATCTTTGGTGGACACACTCGTCTGCGTTGTTGAAACAGAAACTCGTCCTGCTTCTTCCGTCGTCATGATGTTAGCAATTAAATTAAGCACATTTAATAATTAATCACTTTATTTTTTGTTGCGACATTAATACATAGCATTATCTAGTTCAATGGTAAGCTACGAGGCCTGTGTTATGGATACCAGATAGTTGATACACTACACATATATAACTTTGAATATATACATATTACAAATATTAACACCCATGACTGGAATATAAGCATTCGTGTTCATGACAAGACTGAATGCCCCCAGCGCCTAGCGGGACTTGAATCCGCGACAGCTGGCACATCAAGTAGCCACTTGTAACATGGTTACGTCAGTAAAAAACCCGGGTTATCTTAACATTCGCGTCGCGCTGCTATCTTCAGATGACCAAAAAATAAATTCTTAGGTTTTACATATTACTGTACTCTTACATTGCAGTTTTTGTATTTTTTTTTCGGAAATGAGATATTTTCCGCGGTAAAAAGTATCCTATATGTTGACCCGGATAAACAGCTATCACCATACCAAATTTCATCAAAATTTCTCCAGTGGTTTTTTTGTGATGCGGTAACAGACAGACAAAAATTCTAAGAGCTATAGATTCGGCCTCTGTATCGATAATAATGTTTATTTCAATGAGATTTTCCAAAAAAATATTTAATGTACAGATTCGGCTTAGTTACAATTTTATTATATGTATAGATAAATTACCGAAAAACCACTGGAGGGATTTTGATGAAATTTGGTATGGTGATAGCTGGTTATCCGGGTCAACATATAGGATACTTGTTACCGCGAAAAAATGTCTCAATTCTGAGAAAAAATACAAAAACTGCATTGTAAGAGTATACTAATATGTAAAACCCAATAATTTGGTTTTTGGGTATCTGAACGCGGGCGGAGCCGCGGGCAATGCTAGTTTTTTATAAAAAAGAACTATGTCAAGCACATACAAATTCTCATGACATTATGTAATGTTTTAATGTTTTCTTGAGGATATTGAAAGTTTTTGACTCCTATATATTATTTGGCAAAGAATTTTAGAGCTGTGTTCCTTCAAATATTATAGTTTTAATTCATTGTGTGTATGTTCCTGGAGTTGTGTGTGCGGTAATAGTTTGAGTACACACCTGGGTAGGGCGCCGGAGTGTGCACCGTGTACTGCTGCGTGGGGTAGGGCGCGGGCGCTCCGGGGCCGGGCGGCGCGGGCGGTGGCACGTCCACGGGCGCTACAAGAATTTTTTATTTTATTTAGGATCTCCAACAAAAGATACACACTATATTCATTTTCATTAAAAACATAAAAAGCAATTAAGACTCAACACGTGTGCTCCTTCACTTATAGGAGACCACAGCTTGCTCATTTATGTATTGGGAATGATTTTCAACCTCCCGAGACCATAAAACATAATTTTTTCGGAAACAGCTAAATATTTCAATTTTATATGTATTTCGAAGATTACATTCCCCTAGTTTCATTAAAACTAAAAAAATATTTATTTATTTATTTATTTATTTATTTATTTATTAATAAATAAATAAATAAATAAATAAATATTATAGAAATTAAAAATAAAAAACCAAGAAAAAATTAAAAAATGGGTTTTTTGCAATTATCTTTAAAAGTTTTTTTTATTACAGAGGTTATTATAAAAAGTATCATGTAAAGTTGTAGATTTTTACTAGACCTACAACTTTTGAAGAGAACATTTTTCGATAGGACGTCACAGTAAGCCGGAAATTGAAAAAAACTATTTTTCAAAGCTTTTCATGCCCCCATTTCTCGGCTTTTCATCCCTCCATTTCTCGGGGGTAGCAGGACATCGCAGCCATTTTACGAATTTTATATACCTGCTAACGTTTTGAAGATATACAACTTCAGGTTTTATATTTTTTTTTGTTCCCAAACCTGGCTCCGATCGGACTAATGAGTATATAAAAGGCTTGATTTTATTTTATTGCTATGACAGACATGCTTTCTATTCATTTCAGTCAAAATAGTGCAAGTAGGTTTTTTTTCTATTGCCGAATGTTCGGCATTTAAACCGAACTTCGGCCGAATGCCGAAGTTTGGCTCAAGCTGCCGAAATTATTAGTAGTAAAAATATTAATAGATATTTGGTGGCACGAAAAAATAAATTGGGGAAAATATTGTTTAAGAGTTAATGATTAACATATATTTTTTTCAAGCATTTCGGTCACGCCATATACGAGAAGTACGCTTTAGAAAGTACCTCTTTGAGGGTACTAATCGCCTTAAAATGACTATCTCGCAATAACGCTTCACATTTCGAATTTAAAAACTCCTTTAATTGTAAATATTGAGGAAATCGCGACTTAATTTCGTGTCCAATTTCGATAAATTATTTTGATATCGAGCTACTAACGCAATATACCTGCCAATGTAGTGGTCACCGGTGATAGGGAACACGCGTACAAGGGCTAATATGTGATGAATTTAAATCTGCTTTTGTTAAACTACGACGTATTAACATAATTTAGAAATAAAATTCAACAAAACGGGTCCGTATATTTTCATCCTCACCGCATTCCTCAGACTCAGGACTCACCGACAAGGATTGAAAAGTGCGCTTGTTCGAATTCGGATGTGTATTTCTGTAATGATCACAATACGATAAAAATAAATCACTATGGGCACGGTAATGTAACATTACCGTGCTATGGGCGTCTCCGCTCTGCACTGCATTACCGACCACTAATGTCTTTGTAAGACGTTTTAAAGCTATAGTACCTACGTTTTCTACGCAAAAACGGCAAATCACTAATAATATAATTTTCTGTTTCTAAATGTTTCGATTTAAATCTACTCGTAGAACTAAGTTTACGAATAGCCCGTTTTGTATTAAACGACATGATGATTGATGCTATTATAAATAAAATAACACAGTAACAAAAGACTTAACAAAAGTAATTAATGCTTAGAAACCGGTTTAAATTGCAAAAACCGCGCCCGGCGAGGAACAGTGCAAGTTCGATGTCGCTCGTAATGCAATAGGTATAAAAAACGCAAGGCAAAAATACACGATATATAGATAAAACTAATCAAATGTTTACGTTTGTGTATAAACGATAATATTATATTGTCTATTCGAATATTTTAGAAATAATTCTAAAAGCGATTTATTGACAAAGAAATTATTATTACAGCACGAGTTGAATATATAAAACTCGATACGCGGCAAAGATTGTTTTATATAAGATCTATAACAATAACGAATAGAAGTCAGTACAGCCGAATAATATATTAAACGCCGATAACTATAAAAATTGTTCGATTATGCATGCGAAAAGAGATCTGTACCAACACGAGTTTCAATAACTATAAAATTACGTATACATAAAATACAGGGAAACAGGTACCTAATTAGATTATTCATACGTGATCTGTAACAATTTAATACGTATTGTAACGAATTTTAGCCACGTCAAAGCTGCAAATCGATAGTTCGGTAAATATGCGCATACATACATGGATTCAATCGAAACGAATATTGTAAGAGATATTTAATCTATACATATAATAAAACTGTAACTAAGCCGAATCTGTACATTACATTTTTTTTTTTAAATCTTATTGAAATAAACATTATTATCGATACAGAGGCCGAATCTATAGTTTTTAGAATTTTTGTCTGCCTGTCTGTTACCGTGTCACAGAAAAACCACTGGAAGGATTTTGATAAAATTTGGCATGATGATAGCTGGTTATCTGCGTCAACATATAGGATACTTTTTATCGCGGGAAAATATCTCATTTTTGAAGAAAAAACCAAAAACTGCAATGTAAGAGTATACTAATATGTAAAACCTAAGAATTTGGTTTTTGGTCATCTGAACGCGGGCGGAGCCGCGGGCAATGCTAGTTTCTTATACAAGTACAAAACGCGTGGACGAATGGTATAATGAGCGTATTCAAGATTTGTAGAAAGGGTGTGAACGATCGGAAATAATAGTGAATTAAAGAATGCAAAATGGGCGAATGAGTTTAAAAGTTTACGCATTTAACTGTTGTTAAGCATGAATGCACAAATTATTATAGCATGTAGGTAGGCACTAAAAACTGGAACTAACATGTTATAATTATAAAATTTACTAGAATATGTAATGAAACGAAATAATACTCGGCCACCTACGAATTAAATTACGTTTTCACTATACAAACGAAATATACCAGCCATATTAAAATTTGAGCTTATGAAAATGACTACTCAAAATGATACAAAAAAAAGACGATAAAGGGTGCTATTCCGGGTTTTGGCACCAAAAAGATGTACCGGAGAGGGTCCTGCCGTGGGGACCCCGTCCGGCACTCTGGGTTAGAAGGATCGACCTTTTGCCTATATTAAACGATGGAACCTGGTAAGAAAAGAACGGTACTTACAGGCAGAATTCTCCAAGTCGCCGACTTGACGAGAACGCCCTTCAAAAGCTCACTCTGAGCTGCTGCCGATTGCGTGAGAGTGGTGTACACACCCTTCCACTCCAAAGTCCTGTGTTATGCGTGTGTCGTCCACGACGTTTGTTGCGTTAATGATGATTTACGTGTCTAGTAACGAGTCTCAAGCGAGAAGAGCCTAACGGCCTACCTTATGCTCGTTTTATAGAGCTCCGCCGCTCTTACCCCACCAGATTCCACCGACACGACCCGCTCACGAATTAAACGAATAGTGAATATATTTTCTTTGGACTCAAAATTAGTGAATAATCCTTTTTATTGAAAAAAAAAAATACACAATGGAGCAGGCTACAACCCTTTTTGTTAATATAATAAAATTCCTTTACAGTTCCAAGATATTAGTGGTCAATCGTAATCACTCCGGCTGAATCTCACGTGCTAAGCTTCCTAGGACATGTTTGCCAGTGGAAGACATTCGACCTCTTATATATTATGTCCGCGTGCTAAATGAAAAGATAAAATGCTGATATTTTCTTTCATAAAATTTCACTTTTTTACATGTCTAACTGGATAAACCCGCAGCTTACTTAGTTAATGCACACTTTAACTTAACCATATTCAAACAACCACCACCAGTAACCAGCAGATGTAGTTAGTTCAACTGTGTGGATCGCAATAATTACAGTAATTCTGATTAATATTTTTTGTCTATAAAGGTAGCAATAGTGTTGCTCAATATTTTAACTTTAAATAATAGCTATCTAAATTAATATTTTCACTTCTTTTAAATTAAACTAGCGGCTCACCCTCGCTTCGCTCGGGTTCGTCGCTAGGTACGTTTTAAATAGATATAAAAAGAAAAAATCTTTCTTTCTCACATTTTAATTATATGTTTTAATACTTACCTATTCCGGACTAAGAGAAATCCAAAAATTAAAATATCATAAAAATTGGAACGCGGTCGAACGGGATAAAAAGTATCCTATGTCCTTCTCCTGGCTCTAAACTACCTCCCTGCCAATTTTCAGCTAAATCGGTTCAGCCGTTCTTGAGTTATAAGCGAAGTAACTAACACGACTTTCTTTTATATATATAGATATAAAACCATAATATCACGGTAATGTATGCATTACATTACCGTGATAATATTGCTTAGATAAATAATTAATATTTTTAATTTTTAATGTTCTTTAAGGTTATACATAATATAATAATAGACACACTAAATAACATTAGTAATTAATAAAGTTTTTTAGAAATTGTAATATTTATAATAATAACAGCAAAAATTAAATAAATAATTTTGCTATATTTAATTATAATATTTATTATTTTTCTTAATGTTTAGAAATAAAAATCAACAAATATTGTAAGGCACTTTATTGCCATTTTTTGAATATTTGAAATCATTTTTTACCCACGACGGAATGGAGTCGGTATATGCGTTTGGGGTGAGAGGATGTTTGTTTGTTTGTTTGTTTGTTTGTTTGTTTGTTTGTTTGTTTGTTTGTTTGTTTGTTTGTTTGTTTGTTTGTATGTGCAAATACATGTTGCCATTTTTCTTCAAAACTACTAGTCCGATTTTGATGCAGTTTTCAATTATGGGTTCGGGTTTGATTGGTGCATGTTCCAAGATAGGTGTTAAGCTGACAACTCACCAGGGTGCGCTGCAGCAAACATTGTTTGTGTAAATCAATGTTGCCACTTTTCTCCAAAGCTACTAGCCCGATTTTGATGCAGTTTTCAGTTATGGGTTCGGGTTTGATTGGTGCATGTTCTTCGATAGGTGTTACGGTGATAACTCACCAAAGGGCGCTACAGTAAACATTTGTTTGTGTAAAACCAAAACTACTAGTCCGATTTTGATGCGGTTTTTAGTAATGGGCTCATATTTGATTAGTGAGGGTTCTTAAATAGGTGTTACGATAGTAGCTCACTAGTGGGCGCTCCATTAATATATTATATTTTAGAGTAGCTACTACATAATAAGGAAACTCGATAGAACTCGATAGGTAAGTACTTCTGTAGGAAGTAGTGATGAAGAAATTAAAAATTCTTTAGAATTTTTTTTAAAACATACGTCGTACACGATTTAAGCGCAAAAATGTATGTGAAGTAAAAGACGAAGGCAACGTACATACATTATATCTATGCTCTCTAAATAGTTTAAAATAAAAAGCAAAATGAAAAGTTTTGAAAGCCCCACGACGGTTAAAAAGTAATTGAAAGAGGATAAAATAATTTAAAAACCCTCGACTTAAAAAATAAATGTAACGCGAGATAAACTCAAGCATATCCGTCGGGGGCTGCCAACACTATTTTAAATTTCATCGTAAAAAATCGGGCTAGTAGCTTTGGAGAAAAGTGGCAACATTGATTTACACAAACAATGTTTGCTGCAGCACCCCCTGGTGAGTTGTCACCGTAACACCTATCTAAGAACATGTACCAATCAAACCCAAACCCATAACTGAAAACTGCATCAAAATCGGACTAGTAGTTTTGAAGAAAAATGGCAACATGTATTTACATATACAAACAAACAAACATCCTCTCACCCCAAACACATATACCGTCTCCGTTCTGTCGTGGGTAATAAAGATAAGTATCATCATCAAATTCTAAAGATCCCCACTGTAGGGGCACAGCCTACCCATTATGGGTGTAACTTTGTAAGTATAGCGCTAAAGAATCTCAAACTATTTACGTTACTATAAAACTGCAAAACTAGATCATAATGGCAGCCCCCGAAGGATATGCTTGAGTTTATCTCGCATTACATTTATTTTTTAAGTCAAGGGTTTTTAAATTATTTTATCCTTTTCCAATTACTTTTTAACCGTCATGGGATTTTCAAAAATTTTAATTTTTTTTTTGTAAAATAATGGGTAGGCACTGTTTGTAATAAGTATGTGTTTGAGACATCTATAATCTTAGTCTCTCCCATGGCCATGATTGCTGTAAAGCATTCGAAATGTCAGGAACCAAAAATCAAAATAAATCTGCGAAATAATCCGAAAAGATAGTTTTATTTAAAATGTTAAATATTGGCGTAAATCTAAGAAAGTATCATATTTGAAGTAAAATGTACATACGTGAGAGTACTCGTCCACGTCTGCGTTTGAAACAACAACAGCCACAAATCAGCACCAGTAATATGATGCAAGCCGCAATGTACACTAAGTTGTTCATGCCTCTGAAGTGGTGTCTCTGTAGGCAAATACTATACTTTACTTATGTGTAAAAATAAAAAGCATATTAATCTATCTTGCATATATTGATAAAAGTTTATAAGTAATACATATATAATATCATCCTGACAAATCTTGTCTATGGTGTCAAATATCACTGAGATTAACCAAACATATAAACATGGCATTATAATGTACAAGTGGTGCAAAAAAAATGCACTTTTTATTCCTATCACTTTCATAATCTGATTGGATGACATTACATCCAGTGAGAGATTAGGTGCAGGACTTTTATATGCAATATACAGTGTAATATACTATCTATTAATTACTACAATTCCCAATAAAGTCAAGCAACATCATGTTCACTTGAAATATTTGAAATTAAAACTAATCAATTGTAACAAAAATGATACAAAAAGATTACCTAGGAGGAATATTATAACTGTCCTGGCCTTGTTGCAAGGTCAGCTAAGAAAAATTAAGGTTATGAATTAAGACTTAATCAAGCATCAATTACAACACAATATAACATATTCACATAATAATACAATGATATATCATTTAATGATAGTATCAATGTATAACATTAAATATTTATGATTCTAATTGTAATACATTAATATAAATAAATACCTGATATATAACAATTAAAATAAGTACCTTTGTGATGTCCCTTAATACTTCGTCGAAGTCGATTTCTTCTGAATCAAACATAATATGCGATCAGTATCAACTACGTAGCCATAATGGTACAAGAACAAATATTATAAAAAGAATTATCAGCTGGCAAACGTAGGTATCATGAGTCACAGTAACATGTAGGGGTTTTACCAAATAATGAAATCAGGCATAAATATACAAGATTTTTAGATTATAAATAATAGTACGTATCACTGTTAAGCAACAAGGATAACCTAAACAAATATATCTTATATTTAGTTTTATTATTTATTTACTTTTTATATCAACTTTGAATTATGAACAACAAAATTACAAATTCCTTTGCAGAAGTTTGACTCGAGATCGAGTGGGAACTCAGAACTGGGAAGTTGGGAACTGTCAAGTGTCAACTGTCAACTGGAAAAATTGAAAATAGAATTATGTAGGGTAGCCATTATACAAAAAAAAATATGTAAAACCTTATATAGCCTTAACAAATGACAATGATATTTGACAAATAAAAAGATACCCACAGATAACATCATATGCCTGGGTATGAAAATGAGGAGCTGTCAAAAATTTTAAAAAGACATCTGACATCTTCATGTCTGACTTGTGTCAAAATAAACGAGCGAGATAACCTCAAAACAAATAAATTTCATTATGTGGAAACTTTGTAAAGCAATACAAAAAACTACTAGCTTGGTTCCAGGACTTATACAAAAAGCACATATAACTAAGGTGAATTCCATAAATGCTACCTATATCCATACGAACGTATCTTTATATGCTGTCAAGAAAACGACCACTGCTGCTGGAGGTAAGTGTTTTTAATATAAAATTAATAAAAACCCAAAGTGAACTAAAACAAATTATACTAATATATCGTATAGTATCGATACCTACATATAATGTTTCATATTAATGTTGTTTTTGTATACTTACTCATAGAATTCGCAATTAATACTATAAGTAATAATCAAAGTCATATGCATTTATTTACTTAATTAAAGGTAAATGATAAATAGACGATTTTTCATGATTTCAACAGGAGTCCTTGGTCTGGGTAAGGGTAAAAAGAAACTTGGCAAGCTAGGTACCATGGAAAAGAAAGAAATGCCTGTAGAGACAGATCCAGAGAAACTAGTCAACTATGTGTGTGGTTCTAATATATATGTCACTGGTGAAGATGTTAAGGTAATTAAACAATATAATTATTTGATTTTTACTGCAGTAAAAGTTTAATATAAATAAGTATAAGCAGAGTACTTGTGTGTTCACTTCCCTTACAAAAAAGTAAAATTTTTACAGACCTAGCTTCTGTCTGTGACTTTGCTTATATGTAAACTTACAATATGAAGTCCAAAGCTACCTATATCATAATAACATTTATTTATATCTGCAGATTCATTGTCACATTAAGTATGCCAACAAAATGCCTATGTTTTAATCTAGAGTTTGAGCTGATATGTAGCTATCTTAGTCAGGCTATTGTTGCTATAGTATGACATTTTTTTATTCAAATATGTCTAGTGTGAAAATAAATGAATATTAAAAAAAAAAACAAATATATGTTCTAAGGATCCATTATTTTACTTTTTGACAACACATCAATATACTTTTAAAACTTGAAATATACAATCAGTTCATTTCATTTCAGTTAAAAGATGATAGTGAATATCCTGAATGGCTATGGACTTTACACACAGGAAAGCCTCCACGAATTGAAGAATTAGACCCTAACACAAAACAGTACTGGATTCGAGTCCGGGCTGAGGGCATGCGAAGGAACAACCGCTTGCAATCCTTGAAAAAATTCTAGAATTTGTGTTCTAGAAAGGTTGAGTTTGAATTGTTGATAGAAATTTTTAAAAGAGAAATGCAGCAATATGAGTGTACATAGAATAATTTACTACTAAGTAGGATATGAAGTAAAATAAAATATAAATGTAAAATTACAATTTTATTTTCACAAAAGAACAAGTAAATTTACACAGACTGAAGGCATACAAAAGAAAAATTTTAGTAATATTTGGTGCAATTTATAACTTTTCTTTAACATTCAAGATTGGTGAATGTCATGCAGTGGCGATACAAAGTAACATGTGACAATCATACTAATATATTTTAGACAATTTTACATTTTTTCATAACAAAAGATAATAAACATTATATTTGTACTACTCTCAAAAACTTACGTTTTTCAAATGTAGCTTTAATGGATATATTTATAATATTATAGTAACATTTTTTATTTATAGAAAAGATTCATACACTTTGAGTATTTTTCTTATTGAATTAGGTACTTCATTTACTTAATTAATTTATAGACAGTCCATAGTATCTTCCTTGATGATCATAGGGCATGCATAGTCGCCGTGCTTGGTTCCAAACGAATAGGCATATGGATTCTGAAATAACATTCATTATCTCAATAAAGGCAAAACTGAATGATTTTTTTATGTAAAAATAAATAAAATTAAATAATACATATGTTGGAGCATTAACACACAGCACCATCTAGTTCCATGGTAAGCTATGAGGCTTGTGTTATGGATGTCAGATAATTGATACACAATAAATATATAACTTTAAATACATACATATTATAAATATAAACACCCATGACTGGAGTGTAAACATTCGTGCTCATCACACAAATTAATGCCCCAAGTGGGCCTCAAACTATTTTAGGCATTAGGCGATATCTCGACAACAGTAGACAGATTTTGATGGTTCTTTTTTAATGCACAGGTAACATCTCAAGGGTAGGCCTGTGTCGGTTTCAAAATAAAATCGTATGCAATAATTTAAAGTGATTTTAGATGCGGTGTACTTTTTAGTTAAGTCGTTAATAAAAAATGTTTCGCTGTATGTTACTGTATCGGTGATCTAGGCCCCTAGGGGCTAGGTGAATAGCTGTAGTTTTGGATTTCTTAAGTTCGAATCTCAGTCGGTAGTTATTAGGTCTTTGTGTAATAGTTCGGAGTTGAAGTTGGTTGTGTTTCACTCCCGTGCCTCGGAGAGCACGTAAAGCTGTCGGTCCTGCGTCTAATCGGATTGTTGTCCGATTCAAATTGGAATATGAGAATGAAAGGATTCAGAAATAGAGTTTCTACGTCACGTAGTGTCACATAACACCCACATTCTGCTCTACAATAATCTTTGCGCTCCTACGCAGATGGCTACTATATATTAAGTATTAATGAGATCGATCAGAAGGACATTACTATTATTAAGTATATGTTTAAGTATATAGGTATGTAAATGGAAGTGTAAGTGAAAAATAACCTTCTTGGTGTTGTATAAGTTGGGCGGGTAGGCAGCAGGGCCGGGCGTGCGCGTCACCCTGCCCGCGCCGCCCGAGCGCGCGCCCAGCGTGTAGCTCGGTGGTCTGCTCGGGGGCATTCATTACTAATAACTAGCATAATACATAATACAGTATAAAATTCCATACAGCAGATATTACCGGAAATGCTATCTAATGTCAATAAATCAATTTTCAAGTTAAGCACTGTAGTGGCATCTCGTGACAAGGTATAGTTGGGTATAACCCTAAAGAGCCCTTTTACCTAGTTATTATATTAATTATGATAGTCTGCGTTTCCCCCCGACGACGTACGACTGGCCTGTCTAGACGCTTGATCACAATATGGATTAGTAGACTGTAGTTATATTAATTGCAAACTAGTTATTGATTATGCATATTTCACACTATTCCACTACCATAAAGACAAGTCTTAATCCTTTACCAGCAAGCCACAGATATTAGGTACTTTGACAAAATCACTATTTAGTCTATGGATATTGTTTTTAGATCTAAATATCCACTTATTTTCAAACATTTTGCTGTTAAAGTAGTATTGTAAGCTACGTCACAATGTTCACAGCTTCAAAACACATAATTCGGCAACTATTCGATAAAATAAATAAAAACTTTTTAACAAAAAAATAAAAACCGACTTCAAACAAAAGCACTAAAAAGTAAAAAATAACTGATTGGTAGTTTTCATTTACTATACATACCTAATCAAATATTCTCGAAGTCGGTGTGCTTTGGCTAAGTAATTAAAGCCTACCTATTAAATACATACCTAATCAAATATTTTCTAAATCGGTGCCAGCCCATACAAAGCAAAGCACACCGACTCGGTCGGTTTTTATTTTTTTGTTAAAAAATTTTTATTTTTCCCTTTTTAGTGTAGACAGTAGTAGCAAAGTAAGAATTCTGAAGTGTTAGGCTTGTCAAACCAAACAAAATAAGCCCAAACTCAAAGTATCTACTATTAGTCGTTGAAGAGTTCCACCTATCTACCTTCTGGCCTTACCATCAGATCAGGTCAACAATACTGAACCACTGTACTATCAACGGAAATAGAAACACTTGCAAAGTTTCAAGTCAATATGACAATTAGAAGTAGGTTAAATTCATTATTAGCTATTTTTCCACCCTTAGGGGTGGTATTTTTTTTTGAAATTTAAATGGGGCTAATCTGGAAGTATACCCTTTCAAACAAAACAACAAAACAAAAATTGTTCAAATCGGTAAATAAATGACGAATTTCTGAGGTAACAAACATAAAAAAAAATACAGTCGAATTGAGAACCTCCTCCTTTTTGAAGTCGGTTAATAAGAGCCTAAAAGAATTTAACTATCGGTCTATAATTACGTATAATATTGAAAGAATTTTCTTTTAACTCCTAACCGTTGAGGAGTTGTACCTTCCATCATTAGCTCAACCACAGGAGATGATAATTATCAGACGCAAATACTTGAACAGCTTTAGGAAATATATGAAAAACGTAATAAGTGCCAATAAAATTTGAGAGTTGCCTTCGATTTCCATGGGATCCCATCATCAGATCGTGACTTGGTGACTATGGGACTAACTAGAAACTATACCCTTTCAAACAAAAAAAGAATTTTACAAATCGGTCCAGCCATCGTCGAGTAATCGGGGAACATACATAAAAAAAAGCCCGACGAATTGAGAACCTCCTTTTTTGAAGTCGGTTAAAAAAAATAAAGGAACGTCATATATCTATCGGTCTCATTAATAATCCTATCCATTATTTTCCAGAGAGCCACCATTTTTTTCTTAACTGTAATATTGCCAAGCACTTCACATGAGATACCTACCTACTAACCAATTTTCATTCATATAACTCCAATAATCTCGGAATTATTAGGTATTGCGCATAGTATATGGCATCTGAGGTATAAAATTTCAAATTTACCCAGAACTCTAAATATGTTAGTATTTTAGTGATGTATTTATGAAAAGTAATTATAAACTAGCCTTGTTTTATAAGCATCAGCATTTTGCTGAAAGTACACCGCAGGACCGGGTGACTTAGTTTTAGGGTTGAAGCCCACCCTCGCTCCCATAGTGTACGCGGGTGTCCCAGGACCCAGCCTTAGAGCGTACGCGTTCGGAGCTGGTCCAGGCCGCTTCAGCGCGAAGCCAAGCCTCGCTCCCATAGAATACTGCGGGGCTCGGGGCTCACGAGTGGGCGGGCAGCGCTCGGGGGCATGCGCGCCAGGGCCCGGCGTGCGTAAAATGCCACGAGTGGGAAACCTGTATGGGAATTATTAATAAGAAAGGAATTATATCTTATCAGACCAGATCAACGAAAGAGAAACGGAGAGATATTTTTTGATTACTTGATTTTTATTTATTTGCGAAGTAAAAGACAAGCAAACAATTAATCAAGTTTACTTTATGAAAAGTTTTCGGGAACTAGAATTAGCAAGAACTGTAGGCGTTGTTAAGATAACATTACAATTGAATAGTAATAGGATAAAAATATTAAGTACTAGCATTGCCCGCGGCTCCGTCCGCATTAAGATGACTAAAAAACAAATTCTTAGGTTTTACATATTAGTATACTCTTACATTGCAGTTTTTGTATTTTTTCTCAGAAATGAGATATTTTCCCGAAGTAAAAAGTATCCTATATGTTGACCCGGACAGTCAGCTATCACTATACCAAATTTCATCAAAATCTCTCCAGTGGGTTTTCTGTGATGCGGTAACAGACAGACAGACAGACAGACAGACAAAAATTCTAAAAACTATACATTCGGCCTCTGTATCGATAATAATGTTTATTTCAATAAGATTTTCCAAAAAATAATTAATGTATAGATTCGGCTTAGTTACAATTTTATATGCATAGATAATTTTACTAGTTGTTCTGTTCATAATATCCATGACATAGGCTATCTGTAGATAGGTGTAAGAGATGCCGCTTTATAACTTTCATTTTTAGAAAATTAATAAGCATTTATTATTTTCTTATGGAAATCTATACGCCTGAGAGAGCTTAGCAAAATTTCTAAAGACACACACAGACAGTGGTGGACTATACCTTTATTCCTGTCGAAATGAAAGGAGGCCCAACCGCAGCAGTGGGACGTTACATATTGAATACAAACAAACACATCTAAAGTTCCTAATTTAAATGAAGTTATTTTATTTTCATATTTATGAGTAACCTTGCTCCAAAGCTCCAAGCAGGCGAGGACATAAGCCCGTCCCTGGTGATCCTGTCTATCCGGTAAGCCGGCCCCGGCCCGAGCCGCTTGAGTCGAAACCCCGCGTTCATACCGAAGGAGTACATCGGGTTTCGGTAGCGCGAGGGGTCGTGTTGGGGGAACCCCACTGTCGTCGGCAGCTTGTACGAGCCAGGGCCAGGCCCTGAATATGTATATCTTTGTAAAATTACTCGCTAATTGATTTGTTGTGGAGTTCCCTAGTTTGTACCCGACTGCGCAAAGAAAAGAAAGGTAATATGTTTATCAGTCTATGTATGTATGTTCTTGGGCCTATTTTGATGATTCATACGTCGTTAGATTCGTCTTGATAACGCGAGTGTCATAGGCTATATAAAAATAGTTAAAAATGAACATGGAAGATTTCAGGCGTCAATTTGTGTCTTTAAAAAAATTATTTCAAACCAATCGAGTGGGGTATCAAAATAAATTAAGGTTATCACAAAAATATATACAACTTTGGAACATATTAAAAGTAATTTAGGATAATTTATTATTTCTTACTATTGCGTATATTAGAGACCAACCCTTGCATTGTTCAGACATATTTCAGCTCCGATGTACCTGATTACCCATTAATGTATGGGAAAAATCACATCGATCCTTCATTTCGTTGCTGAATGAAAAAAGATCAAACCAACAAACTTTCGACTTATTAGTAAAGATTGTAATAAACTTCCATTTGTCTATTACATGATTTACTCGAGTGGAATAAATCATAGTCTAGGAGTCCTAACAAGGCCAGTTAGGTACACATGTTTCCGCCTGGTATGAGCTCGTCTTAATATTTTGGCGGGATAAAATGGGCAAAATTAACTGTATTTGTAACAATTTTACTGTATTTGTAAGTATCGACATCTGTTACACTGACAAATCAATGTCTGATCTATGTCTGTAAAACTTCACGTATAAAATTTAACGTTACTAGTACAAATAATATATTTACCTAGTGGTTTTTTGCATGCCATAGTGATAAAAAAATAATAATAAGATTACAGAACACTAAAATTTCGTTGCAAATCTGACATGTCAGTCGGTGCTCCTAGATTGGTGTCAACTGAGATATGTCATTAGAGAGGAATTTTTCAAAATTCGAATGTTAATTGAGTTTTAATATCTGTATCTGTACATATAATAAAACTAGCATTGCCCGCGGCTCCGCCCGCGTTCAGATGACTAAAAACCTAATTCTTAGGTTTTACAAGTTAGTATACTCTTACAATGCAGTTTTTGTATTTTTTCTCAGAAATGAGATATTTTCCTGCGGTAAAAAATAGCCTATATGTTAACCTGGATAACCAGTTATCATCATACCAAATTTCATCAAAATCTGTCCAGTGGTTTTCTCGTGATGCGGTAACAGACAGACAGAAAGACAGACAGACAGACAAAAATTCTAAAAACTATAGATTTGGACTCTGTATCGATAATAATGTCTATTTCAATTAGGTTTCCCGAAAAATATTTAATGTACAGATTTGACTTAGTTAGAATTTTATTATATATACCTATATATAGATTGTTACTAAGCCGAATCTGTACACTAAATATATTATGGAAAATCTTCTTGAAATAGATATTATTATTATCGATACAGAGGCCGAATCTATAGTTTTTAGATTTTTTCTGTTTGTCTGTCTGTGACCGCATTACGAGAAAACCACTGGACAATGTTTAATGAAATTCGGTACGTTGATAGCTGGTTATCCGAGTAAACATATAGGATATGTACTTTTAACTGCGGGAAAATATCTCATCTCTGAGAAATCTATAACTAACCGTTAAAACGTGACTTATAGGGACGAAACCCGAGCGGAGCAAGAGTGAGTCGCTAGTAGAAAATAATAATAATTATTTTTCAACAAATTTGGTAGTTTGTTAGCACTACCTATTGAACAGATTTTATACGCTCTTTCATTCAAGATATGACAGACGCTCGTTACAGTAAACACAATAAATAAAAAATGATAGTCAAATACAAATACTTTTAATAAATGAATATAAATAAAGATGTATTTATATAGTATATTATAGAGTAGAGGGTCTTCAGAAGTATGGTCTCAAGAGCAGGTGCGGCTTATCTCAGCGCGTGCTTGTCTGGTCCCAGGGGTGTCATCTCCTCACCGTCGTCGCTGTCGTCGTCCGACGTCGCACCCCACTGCCACACGATACTCGATTATAGTTACACGTATGACCGTGCACTTACATATAACGATAAAGTTATATGTAAGTGCACGGTAAACATAATGTCTATACATATAATAAAATTCTAACTGAGTAGAATCTGTACATTAAATAAGTACCTATGTATTGGAAAATCTTATGGAAATACACATTATTATCAATACAGAGGCTGTATATCGATTAATGTAACATAATATGTATACATATAATATAATTCTAATTTGCATCTGTACATTAAATATGTTTTGGAAAATCTTATTGAAATAGTCATTATTCTCGATACAGAAGCTGAATGTATAGTTTTTAGAATTTTTGTCTGTATGTTTGTCTGGGAACGCATCACGGGAAAACCAATGGAAAGAAGCCATTTTGATGAAATTTGGTATGATGGTAGCTGGTTATTCGGGTAAACATATAGGATACTTTTTACTGCGGGAAAACATCTCATCTCTGACTTCTGTATCTACACTTAACCTTAAAACGTAAGTATAGGGACGAACCCGAGCGGAGCGAGAGTGAGTAGCTAGTAAATGAATAAATCAGTAAAATCTAGTATTGTAATATGTGATCTGAGGTAAAACATAGTTGTACTGGGTTGAATTGAGCAAGTATATAAATTATAAACCTGTTCGGAGAGCGGGTGCCGCGAGAGCGCGCGGTAGAGGTAGATGGCGTACAGCAGGTTAGCGACTCCGAGCGCGCGCAGAGCGCTGTCGAAGCCAGCCCACCACGAACCCACACCGCCCACCACCGGCCCTAGTAGGAACAACTTATGGATTTTACCATCGAGAATCGGACTACTTTTATATGTATATGTGAAAGCTTTTACGTGTACAAATAAATAGACATTAACTAACACACAGCACGATCTAGTTCCATAGCAAGCTACGAGGCCTGTGTTATGGATACCAGATAGTTGATACACTACACATACCTATATTACTTTAAATACATACATATTATGAATATATGTATGTCTGCATGTGTTTTTCAATCGACTTCAAAAAGGAGGAGGTTCTCAATTCGACTGTTTTTTTAATTTTATTTTTTTATGTTTGTTACCTCATAACTCCGTCATTTATTAACCGATTTGGACAATTTTTGTTTTGTTTGAAAGGGTATACTTCCAGATTGGTCCCATTTAAATTTCAAAAAAAATACCACCCCTAAGGGTGGAAAAACAAGTAATGATGAATTTTACCTACTTCTAATTGTCATATTGACTTGAAACTTTGCAAGTATTTCTATTTCCGTTGATAGTACAGTGGTTCGGTGTTGTTGACCTGATCTGATGGCAAGGCCAGAAGGTGGATAGGTGGAACTCTTCAACAGCTAATAGTAGATACTTTGAGTTTGGGCTTATTTTGTTTGATTTGGCAAGCCTAACACGTTAGAATCCTTACTATGCTACTACTGTCTACACTAAAAAGGGAAAAATAAAAACTTTTTAACAAAAAAATAAAAACCGACATCAAACAAAAGCACTAAAAAGTAAAAAATAACTGATTGGTAATTTTCATTTACTATACATACCTAATCAAATATTTTCGAAGTCGGTGTGCTTTGGCTAAGTAATTAAAGCTTACCTATTAAATACATACCTAATCAAATATTTTCGAAATCGGTGCCAGCCCATACAAAGCAAAGCACGCCGACTTCGAAAATATTTGATTAGGTATGTATAGTAAATGAAAACTACCAATCAGTTATTTTTTACTTTTTAGTGCTTTTGTTTGAAGTCGGTTTTTATTTTTTTGTTAAAAAGTTTTTATATGTTTTATAATCATGTACACTCAACAGCCGGACAGATGTAGATGTAATTTAGGAGGTACACAGATAGACTTAGGCAGCCACGGTCGCATCTGAGGCAAGTATAAGTCAGTAGTAATCGATATACTTAGGTGTAGTACTATACTATAGTATTATATAATCTGTGGTATAGTCAAGTATTGAAAAGGCGAAGATTGTGCATGAAGAGAATGATGATTATGAAAGAGGTGTCATGAAAAGACAATGATGAAAGACAATGATGACAACTATATACAAAGATAATGGTGTTTTTAATTGATGTTTCCGTCAAAAAGTTTTATTATTGTGATACGCAGTTTCATTAAAAAAAAACTTTTAAATTCGTGTTAAAAATTTTAAGCCAGTCTTTCGATATTAAAATTAAAACTCAAAATGATAATTCTTTCTATTATTCATCATCATCATAATATCGGTCGAAAGTCGTTCTGCTGGACATAGGCCTCCACCAAACATTTCCACGACTGTCAGTCTCATGCCGCCTGTATCCAGTGGATTCACCAGAGTCCACAACTTCGATATATATTCCATTAGTGTTATACAAGCTCTATGAGTAGGTACCAAATTTTTCCACGACTGCCGGTCTTCTGTCAGCATCCAGTGAAGGGCATTATTATGACAGAAGGAGTGTTATAGATAGCGTACGCGGCACTCGCCTTCGTAAGGTAAAAGGAGATTCTACAAAGTAGAAGTACTTAGTACTATTGCCGATAGGGTATGCAGCACTTGACTCTAAGGTAGAAGGGCCGTTGCTAAAACCATATGCGGCTGTGTATGATAGAAAGAGAGTTACCGATAGCATACGCAGCACTGGAGGCGGCCTGCAGCAGCGCGGCGCGGTGCGGGAGACGGCGCGCGCGGCGCAGCGCGGCCGGCACTAGTGCCGCGTCCGCCGCGCCCAGTCCCACGCCCAGCGCCGTCTGCGGAACCGACACCCACCCCACCTGCCGTCGAACACCGATCGTCATTAGTATAGTTTGAGCATATGTTCGGCGATCGCATATACAGTAAACTCTATATTTTACGCCTATATCCATATACAGAACAAAGAACATAAAAAATATATACAAAGAAAAATACCAGCCTTATCGCTAAGTCAGCGATCTCTTCCAGGCAACCTTAAGGGTAGAAAAGAAACTATATATATATATATATATATATATATATATATATATATATATATAAAGCTTGATCCCCCTCGTACTGAAGGGAGGCCCGTGCCCAGCAGTGGGACGTTAAAAAGGGCTGAATACATATAAATATTATGATATCCTCTAAATCACCAATTATTTTAATATTTGCATTTGAAATCTTATAATTTTTTATTTATTATGTAGTTGTTATGTTGATTTTGATTTATTTTTTTCTAAGTTTTAATATTGTGAACAAGCGATTGTTGCACAGGGTAGTGTTTGTGACATTTACAGTAATTATGTTAATAGTAGGTACGGTTCATAAAATAAAACCTTAAAATGCATTATATATTTATTAATTATTCGGCAATCTTACCGTATATTCGACCAAATACCAAAAAAAAAAAATATCCCGAACGTACAGAGGGTGCGTGCGGCAGCGCGAGCGCGGCGAGACCGACGACCAGCACGGCGGTGACGGCCACGCGCTCGGGCCCGAGCCGCGGCGCCGCCGCGCCCAACGCGCTCGTCGCCACCAGATAGCCCACGCTGTCCGGCAGAAACACCGCACCCAGGGCCCAACGCTGGGGAATACAAATAATGAATTATATTAAATAATTCATTATTCAATGTCCGAATATTTATAAAATTTCTCATTTCTCATAACATTTTTTTTCCATTCTATTTTTCAAATTTTTAATTTTGGGTTTGTTAATTAGTTTTGTTAAATTTTGTTACACCTATAAACTTTACGTTATGCATAATATCAACACTGTTATAGTGCATGTTATGTTCTCCAGTAATTGGGGATACATTTTAAACTCTGTCCAAAGAGCTTGTATTTTTTGTATTTTTATATGTACAAATAAATAAAACAAATAAATAAATAAATAAAATAATAACATATGTACCTATCTACACTACGTGGGTCAACACAACGTGTTTCCCTTTCATTTCAATTCAATTTCCCTCTATCAGTCGTGTTCTCAACACACACACCTTTCACATACATATCCTCTTTCACACAGTCCATCCATATCTTCCTCGGTCTAGCTCTACTTCTATGTCCATACATATTCATACTTAATATTCCATTCGCTATGCCATTCACATTTATAATTAAAAATTCAGATTCAGAACAAAGAAAAAATATATAATAAAAACTTTTTAACAAAAAAATAAAAACTGACTTCAAACAAAAGCACTAAAAAGTTAAAAATAACTGATTGGTAGTTTTCATTTACTATACATACCTAATCAAATAATTTCAAAATCGGTGCCAGCCCATACAAAGCAAAGCAAACCGACTTCGAAAATATTTGATTAGGTATGTATTTAATAGGTAAGCTTTAATTACTTAGCCAAAGCACACCGACTTCGAAAATATTTGATTAGGTATGTATAGTAAATGAAAATTACCAATCAGTTATTTTTTACTTTTTAGTGCTTTTGTTTGATGTCGGTTTTTATTTTTTTGTTAAAAAGTTTTTATTTTTCCCTTTTTAGTGTAGACAGTAGTAGCATAGTAAGGATTCTAACGTGTTAGGCTTGCCAAATCAAACAAAATAAGCCCAAACTCAAAGTATCTACTATTAGCCGTTGAAGAGTTTCACCTATCCACCTTCTGGCCTTGCCATCAGATCAGGTCAACAATACCTAACCACTGTACTATCAACGGAAGTAGAAACTTGCAGTTTCAAGTCAATATAACAACATTTGCGTCAATGCAATTCGATAAAAGATCTGCACAATTATATAATAAAATTAACAGAATCATTTATGTTTACCCCTACAATTACCATAAATGCAAAAAGACATTAATAGATTGGATAAAAACCCTTAGTTACAATGATACAGAAAAACTGTTAGAACATATTCATTAAATACTCACACACGCACACACACGCACACACACACACGCGCACACACACGGACACACACACACACACACACGCGCGCGCACACACACACACGGACACACACACACACACAATACACAAACAAATATATGTACGCTAATTTTTATTTTTATTTTTTATTTTTTTGTTTGTCTTAATTGATCTATTTAAGTTTGTAGTATCACCCATAATATTATAATCAGCTAAAAGATAAAATTACTTTTTTATGAAAGGGCGGGGTCTCCTAATACAGGCAAATTATTTGCTTAAAAGGGGATCTCAACCACAAAATTTGAAATTTTGATTAGATTTGAAATAAATAAATAAATAAATTTTAAATTAATCAATTAATTATATGTTAATTTTTATTTCAAATGTAAATGTATATTGTTATCTAATTTATAGTTTTTATTGTTGTTGTGTTATAATAAATAAATTATTATTATTATTATTATTATATGACAATTAGAAGTAGGTTAAATTCATCATTAGCTATTTTTCCACCCTCAGGGGTGGTACTTTTTTTTAAATTTAAATTGGACCAATCTGGAAGTATACGCTTTCAACAAAAACAAAAATTGTCCAAATCCGTTAATAAATGACGGAGTTCTGAGGTAACAAACATTAAAAAAATATACAGGCGAATTGAGAACCTCCTCCTTTTTGAGGAAGTCGGTTGAAAAATGGCACAGCAGCAGCAGCAATACAACCTTATCGCTTAGTTAACGATCACTTCCATATATTCTAAGAGTGTAAGAAAAACTAAAAAAAAAATGTATTCCACTTTCCAATCCTATGAAAATCGGTACAATATGCCGAAATAACCCGTATTCCGAACAGACACAAAATCAGCAATTTAATTTACAATGTGTAAGGACATAGCTACCTGCTACGATAAATTTGCTTGCTATTAAGAAATCTTGGAATTAATATAGTTTGTTGGCTCCCTTACTCCTGGCTTTGAAATTCAAGGGCATTGAAAAATTACCACTGCCCTGGCAGAGATGCATCTATCGATGACGCTATCGCGTGCGTGCATATTTTGATTGATAAAAATAAAAAATATTTATAAAAAAATGCCAAAAAACTTTCTGTATATAATTTCATGGGTAAAGACCTAATTCAATTATATGGTATAATCGATTGTACCGTAGATTGTAAAATAATATTTTTCATCAAAAATAAAACTTTAATATGAATATATTTTTTTGTATGTTCATAATTTCTTATTTTCACATAACTGTAGCAACTAAAAAACCATTCCTATCCTACATTACTTTTATGGTAATTATTAAGTCGATACATCTTTTGACTTCAAGTAAATTCATAATGCTCGAGTCCAATTATTGCTTTTCGCGTTCCCATAGATTCTGTGGGAAATTTAAGCTGACATTTTTTTAAAGCTATACACTATACAATGTTTTATGGTTTTTGATCCCCACCAAGAAAATAAATAAAACTAATCTGTTAAGTACACTTCTTTCTCAGTCACTGACTTCACTACGCTTACGTAAAAGTGAAGAAAATCATATGTATGTATAAGATAAATTCCTTCATTTGTTATGGTTTTATTATATGTATATTGTATAATGTATATAAATAACCTGTGATTATTATGTATGATATTTCATTCGTTAACTACACGGCCTTATCTTAGTCTTCATGTAAATTACCTAATCAAAATGTTTAAACGAATTGTATTTTTCTTGCTTGTAGTAAGTGTGTTTTCATATTCTAGTAAGTAGTAACTTATAAATAATTTCTTCATAAAACCTTCAGAGGATATTCTTTTAAACTTAGTGGTAGTGAATAAAAATAAAATTAATATGTTGCGACATTAACACACGGCACATCTAGTTTCATGGTAAGCTACGAAGCTTATGTTATGGATACCAGATAGATGATAATCAATACACATAATATGTAACTTTAAATACATATCTATATATATAAAAGAAAGTCGTGTTAGTTACTTCGCTTATAACTCAAGAACGGCTGAACCGATTTAGCTGAAAATTGGCAGGGAGGTAGTTTAGAGCCAGGAGAAGGACATAGGATACTTTTTATCCCGTTCGACCGCGTTCCAATTTTTATGATATTTTAATTTTTGGATTTCTCTTAGTCCGGAATAGGTAAGTATTAAAACATATAATTAAAATGTGAGAAAGAAAGATTTTTTCTTTTTATATCTATTTAAAACGTACCTAGCGACGAACCCGAGCGAAGCGAGGGTGAGCCGCTAGTTAACAATATAAACATCATGGCCGCAGTATAAATATTCGTGCTCATCACACAAATGAATGCCTCCAGCGAGATTCGACCCCGCGACCGCTGACATGGCAAGTAGGGTCATTACAAATTGAGCCAAACGGGTCGTCAAATATGAGACATTAGAAAAATTATATTTAATTGAGTTCCCGTGGGTTATAATTGTTTTTGTTTGTCTGTGTGTTGTGTATAATATTAGTATATAAGTATAGATAATAGATGTGTAAGTTTGTAAGTACGTTTTTTTCTTATTCACGCTAAAAGGGCTAAAAGTCTCTGGCGAAAATTACTTATGTAGATACATTAATTAAAACTTAAAGTAATTTTTTATCTTCGTTTTTCGTTCCAGCTAATTTCCTTAGCACAAATCGTGCATTTGTCTGGACCATTGCAGATCGGGCGACGTATGTATACATATATTTGGAAATATGTTTTTTAATTTTTCTAAATAATTTTATATTTTCTCGTACGATTATCGATTGATGTAGTAAGTTATATCCATTCACTTCAATAAAAACTTTCCTTCTCTATACGCGGTAACCATATCTTTTCATCTAAAATTTGTTGCTTAATGTGTTTATGAGCCAAGTACATCAAATTGTACCGCTACTATTATAAGATGTCAAAAGTTGATTTTAACTATTTATTTGTTGCCCGACTTCAAAAAGGAGGATTTAGACAAATATTCTATTTTTTTATATACGACGATACATTCGCCAATAGTGAATTAATTTAATTTACAATTAAAAATAGCCCGCGTTTAGATGACTACAAACCAAATTCTTAGATTTTACATAATAATTAGTATACTCTTACATTACAGTTTTTGTATTTTTTCTCAGAAATGAGATATCTTTCCGCAGTAAAAAGTATCCTATTTGTTGACCCGGATAACCAGCTATCACCATACCAAATTTCATCAAAATCCCTTCAGTGGTTTTTCTGTGATGTAGCAACAGACAGACAGACAAAAATTCTAAAAACTTCGGCCTCTGTACCGATAATAATGTTTATTTCAATAAGATTTTCCAAAAAATATCTAATGTACAGATTCGGCTTAGTTACAATTTTATTATATGTATAGATTATCTGAGTTGAAGTTCGAGCTCATTCGTGTGTCGATGCATGCCGATGTCCAGCAGTGGACAAAAGCAGGCTGATTATGATGAAAAATAAATTGTTAATTAATTTGATATTCCTAATTCATTTTTCACTATAGAAACTTAAAAAAAAACGGTTTCCAGGAACCAAAATGTAAAAGATAACTTAACGGAGGTTTTCATTTAAAATAGATACCTGATCAGATATTTTCGAAGTCGGTGCCAGCCGATGCAAAGCAAATCTAATATATTTCGGTAAGGTAAGGCTAAAAGGTGGATAGGTGAAACTCTTCAACGGCTAATAGTAGATATTTTGTATTCTGTTTAATAGTAGTATTTTGATGATTAGTTTGGGCTTATTTTGTTTGATTTGATAAGCCTAACACGTTAGAGTCGCATTTTAGAGCCAGAATTTTTAGTGTTACTAACAAAAGCGAATTTTAGTTGGTAAGTCTTTGTATAAAAATTGGCACCAAAGTAACTTTAAGCGAATATTTTATTAAAATACTTTCTTCTTACTTTGCTACTACTATGTCTACACTGAAAAGGTAAAAAGAAAAACTTTTTAACAAAGAAATAAAAACCGACTTCAAAAAAGCACTAAAAAGTAAAAAATAACTGATTAGAAGTTTTCATTTACTATACATATGTACATAATCAAATTTTTTCGAAGTCGGTGCCAGCCGATACAAAGCAAAGCACGACTTCGTAAAAAGTTTTTTTTACTCTGGTTGTCAACCGATTTTTTTATTTGTTATTTAATAACTATTGACGAGCTTTAGTGTTATCGATAAAAAAAATATTATGGTTGAATTACGACAACTGGACGAACACCAGTTCTAATAATTTGTGTAAATTAAACGAATTTCTGTTTTAGCCGATCGTGACTGCGTGCCAAACACGTCATATAAAGACGTTTGTGATATATCTGTCTGTGTGTTCCCGAAGGTGGCGAAGTGCAAACCACTTGTGTATTGTTGAATAATAATGATATATAAAATCAATTTTTAAATAAATGAGATTATGTACATAATACATATGTGTACGTCATTGTTTTATTTTACATTTACCAAAATAATCTCATTTCAGGCAGCGCTCCTTTTGTCTAATTTAATTACTAACAATAACCTTTGTGTTATTCCAGGTCATAGTCCATCTGTGAATTTTCACTAAAATCTGTACAGCCATTTCAGCGTGTAAAAGTAACAAAACTACCTACACCATATTACTTTCTTAGATTTACGCGAATATTTTACATTTCTTTTCGGATTATTTCGCGGATTTATTTATATTTTTGGTTCCCGACGTTCCGAATGTTTTACAGCAATCATGGCCACGGAAGAGACTAAGGTTTTAGACATCTCAAAGGCATTATATACCTACTTGTTGCAGTGCCTACCCACAATTTTACAAAATGATTTCAAAAATTCAAAACCGGTACCTTACAATATTTGTTGATTTTAATCCTAAACATTTTTTAAAATTAATCTTATAATTAAATATGGCAATATTATTTATGTAATTTTAGCTGCTATCATTATACATATTTTTTAAAATCATTAATAATTAATAATATTATTCAGTGTTGCTATTATTAAAATAAGTATAACCGTAAAGAAAATTAAAAATTAAAAATATTAATTATTTATTTAAGCAATTTTATTGTTTTATATGTAATTTAAAACAGTTAAAATATTAATTTAGATTGCTATTATTTAAATTTAAAATAGGAATTAAGCATTTATAGATAAAAAATATTAACCTGAATTACTGTAATATTTCGATACACACAGTCTGACACACTCTCGCATTTACTCGTATAATATAAAGCACAACATTTTGCTCCTAAGAGAAGGTGATTTCAGTCACAATACCTACATTATTATGATTAGGTATATTATATCTACTACTCATTCTACCGATAGCAATAGAGCTCATCGTCTATTGGGTTCAATATACAATATGGTATATCATCTGAATTAAACTTAATAGAAACTTAATAAAAGGCAAGTGCGACACATAAACATTATTGAATATTAAAATGTAGGTACAAACCTCAGGATGAAACCTGTGCATGATCCACAGCGGCAGGCAGGGCTCAAGCGCGGCCATCACGCTGGTGGTGAGCAGCACGGCGCCCGCGCTCGCGCCGGCCGCCCCGCGCGCCTCGCGCCTCATGCCGCGCAGACCATCTAGTGCACTCTCGCCCACGCCCACGCCCACGCCCACGCCCACCCCCACTCCCACGCTCACATCCTCAACGTTGCCCGCGTCCTGACGGAACTTGTTGTGACTTAATCAGATTCTTCATCCTAGATCTATTTAAGCTATACGATGTTTTTCTTGAATAATATACATATGTTACATGCCACTCTTACATCCGCAACGTCCATCCGAGTAATGAGTACTTGATATTACTTAAATAACATCAAAGTAATAGGTACTATACTTTTTTAATTCGTTTTATTTCAGAAATAATAGGTATACAATATACATGTATCTATACAGTCGTTACAGTATGAAGGAGTTTCACTTTATTGTATTATTGTTACTCCTTAACGTAAATCACGTTATTTTCAAATCAGAAATCAGTTCACAATGAAAATTCAAATTTATTTTTAATTTTTTAATTTTTTTTCAAATTTTAGAATTGTCTAGTCTCTCCAAAGAACCAATAAAGTAAGACAGTTAGGTACCTAATTGGTAGCTTATCAATTAAAATATATTATCGTCAATTTTCTAAACAAACAACAACACGATACAATTTTATAGCCTGTGGTCTTTCTACTATTAACGTTCAAACTTCAAATAAGGGCAAAATTATAATGAAGTATCTATCGGCTATCGCTATATTATTTTGTATACTTGCCGTAATAAATTCTTCTTTGTTGAGGAGTAAGTACTGCATACCTAAAAAGACATTGATTTAAAAAAAATAACAATAAATAATATAATACAAATAATAACGTATGGAGGTACATACTACATGACGTATAATAAAAGCCACAAAGTATTATATTACCTACCAAGGTTAATCAACAGTGCGGCAGCTATCAGCTGGAAGGGCGCGGCCGGACTCCATAATTTGTATGCGGCTCCTCCGAATGGATATCCCACTAAAACTCCTTTGATAAAATATAGTATAATAGAATAACATCTTCGAAGTATAATAAGTAATTCTGCACTTTTAATTAAAGTGGCATGATTGATTTTTTCTAGAAAACTAAAAGATTTATTAAATCCATAAACAAAAACGTTTGTTTTTAGTAGGTATACGTATATTCACCAAGTGCCACAGCCCCCAACAAAGCACCCAGCGCACGATCCCTGCGGGCAGGTGGCAGCGCGCGCGCCGCCAGCGCGAGTCCGGCCACGCCGCCCAGCGCCGCGCCGCCGCCCTGCGTCGCCCGCCCTGCGCCCGCGCAGATCGCACCACCCCCGCCCGCCCCACCCCGCCCAGCGCACCACCCGAACACTAAAGTAACGAGGATTCAATGAAACTGGTGTAAATGTATACAAGGCATTAAAAGGAGTAGACTCAATATTTTTAATCAAACTATGTTTATTGGTTTCAATTTCCTCTTGACTGTACAAAATGTCAGTGACTACAGGCTAATTTGACGAGCTAAGAATTTGACGAATCATATACCAATTTGATAAATTTAGATCATTCTCTAATTTGACCAGTCAAGTATTTGACGGACTCGTCAAATACTTGACTCACGTTTACGATAAAAATGTTAGAATGGACGTGTATGTATTTGATTTTTTGGAATAAAATTTTATGATCATGCAAATATAAACCTTTATCGAATGGGAATACCTACATTAAAAGTGGCAATCTGCCCAATTTTTTTTGGTTCTCACGTGCATTCTGTTGACATTGATGCGTCAGTCGTAAATTGGTGATAAATTGTCTATATAATGCGTTAAGTTAAAAGAATTTACGAAAGCCCTTAGGTAAGTTACCTTTATAGTACGACTTAAATGATGAGTACTGATAGTTTAAATTGTTGAAAAAAGAGTAATTACCTATTGCACTTACCTACTACCTATCGTATAATTTGTCGGAGACACCACCCGCGTTTCTACAAAGTTGATAGAATATAGAGTCGTCGCTATAATGTTTGTAAGCAACAAATTTTCTATTTTATCGGCAAATCGATAAAATTATCTTTTCGCAAACAAATTAATGAATACTAAAGTATGTAAAAATGTCATTATTAGCTTTATTTTTAACTAGCATTATATATAGCAAATTCTTAGGTTTTACATATTAGTATACTCTTACATTGCAGTTTTTGTACTTTTTCTCAGAAATGAGATATTTTCCCGCGATAAAAAGTATCCTATATGTTGATCACCATACCAAATTTCATTAAAATTCCTCCAGTGGTTTTTTAGTGACGCGGTAACAGACAGACAGACAAAAATTCTAATAACCATAGATTCGGCCTATGTATCGATAAAATGTTTATTTCAATAAGATTTTCCAAAAAATATTTATTATACAAATTCGGCTTAGTTACAATTTTATTATATGTATACTTAGATGTGATTACCGATAAGGCTCTACAAGCACGGATCCTCTTACAATTTATTATTATTTTAAACTAAAAATTTCAGCAACCTTGAGTTAAGAGTAGGTCAGAGACAATCTTTTTGTTTATGGAGAGGAAAAGTATTTTTTTATCGTGACGATGGAAAAGAAACATAGCTTGAGAAAAGTAATATGTAAATAATAAATCGTGATTTAGTAAATAAATAAACAAATCATGTATTTCCTATTTTTATAGTAGTTTGTTTGTGCTCGATCGTGTTCGAGGGTGAATGTAGTTTGTAGGTATTAAGTAACTAAAGCGAGTTTGCCACATTTCCAACACATAGTTTTTAAATTAACATTCCAGACTCCGCACTTCACACGGCATTCAAATGTTACTGGAATCTCAACGAGCTGCCGCTACCGCAGTGCATTGTTCCCTCCATGTGTGAATGAATTCTTAAACCTTTTACATATTTTGATAAAAAGGCACTGTAACAATACATTTACGTATTTCTAAACATAACTTCCCGTTGAATTTCTCACCTATACGCAGAATATTAGCTGCCTCCATTTCATTTAAACCCGTTGAGTCATGACAATGTGAAGAAGTAACAAACATACTCAAAAACTTCCGCTTTTATAATGTTTATGGTATAATATAGATTATATAGATAAATAAAAAATGAATCACCAAATTTATATGTACGCGCATAGCTTCGAATCGACTGCACCAAATTGGATAATTCGTTTTTTTGTGTTTGTTATTGTCAGGAAGTTTTGTATATAGAAGAAAATTAAAAGATTTTTTTTTACTAAAATAGTTTTTTTACTGAAATAGTTTTAATCCCGCAAATCGTCCCTTAATGGGGTGAGAATGGGGATGAAAGTTTATATGGGGAAGCAAACTAAGGACGAAACCGAGCAAAGCAAGGGTGAGTCGCTAGTAGTATTATATTTTAAATTTTAGATTCTTAATATTTTCTAATAGGTACAGGTAAGATAGCGGTGTAATCACGCTCGCTTAAAAAACCAAGTAAAATGGGCTTAAATAGTTAAATCCCAGGTTTTGCACGGCGCACTGATATTTTCATATGCGAACCATTTTCCGCATGATTAGATGTTTGTTTTACACAGGCCCGGATCTAGGAGGAGGGGGGGGGGGGGGCAGCCGGGACCCATGCCCCGGGCGGCAAATTCATACTTTACAGACGAATACACAACTCATCATTAACGCAACCTTGACCACTGAGACGTCCAGTACTTTAAGTACAATAATAATAATTTTTCATAGAGCCAAAAAAAACTTATCTTTACATATAATAAAATTGTAACTAAGCCGAATCTGTACATTAAATATTTTTTGGAAAATCTTATTGAAATTATCGTTATTATCGATATAGAGGCCGTATCTATAGTTTTTAGAATTTTTGTCTGTCTGTCTGTTACCGCATCACGGAAAAACCACTGGAGGGATTTTCATGAAATTTGGTATGGTGATAGCTGGTTATCCAGGTCAACATATAGGATACTTTTTACCGCGGAAATATATCTCATTTCTGAGAAAAAATACGAAAACTGCAATGTAAGAGTATACTAATATGTACAACCTAAAAATTTCGTTTTTGGTCATCTGAACGCAGGGGGAGCCGCAGGCAATGCTAGTTTTATATAAATTCAATTTTTCGTGTTTCGTGTGAGCATAGGTCAACAACCGCGCTGATAGTCCAGCCGAGTTGCAGTCTGCAGCCTTTTGTTTATCAGCGCGCGGCCGAAAAAGCTCGCTTCAGCACTTTTCTACCGTCAATAATTTTTTTCTCAGCATCAGTTTGTTCAATATTGTTTTCCCAACGCATACATACTAAATAATTTGTCTTGATAACTTCTCAATAGTTGTCGAGATATTTTAATTAACATCTTATTTTTTTATAAAAAAAGTAGCGGCCAATCAAAATAAATCATTTTTTTTGTTTTTATTCATCTGAACTCAAATATAAAAATATATATAAAATTTTCCATTTCCATAGTTCAAGTTCTATTGTAGTTTCATTAAAATCTAATTAGTAGTTTTTGTGTACTAAGCTGTATAAGTTACTATATTTTTTTAACTATCCCACGGGAACTCTTTAATTTTCTTATGTACACATAATATAGACCCTAAAACAATAGTTATAAAAAAATTTGTCTGTTTGTCTAATAGCCTATTATATTGGTCTGTTTTTGTGTGCGCATTTCTTGCGAAAAGTAATGAACCGATTTCAACGAAATTTGGTGAAGTAATAACTTATTACTCGAGTCATCATTTAGGATACCTTTTACTTCAAGAAAATCTTTGTTTTCCACGGGAAAATAAAATAACTGGTTTTATCAAGTCCTCCCTAGAAACCTTCCGCTGGCTAAATATTACTAAATTTAATAAGTTGTGTTTGCCATAGATTTATTTGCAAAACAAAAGGCTCGAAGATTTAAATTATAATTTCAATTTGCAATACAATAATATACTAAATTGATTTTTATTTTTAATCTTACGTTTTATTTCAGACCCTATCCTGCGCTATCCTAAATAATAAATATGTCTTACACGTCCATGTACGTACGTACTTTTGTAAACTACCAAAACCCACGTTCAGAACAAAAAAACATATTCTTCTTTTCCTTCCCTTTACAATAATATATGAAAGGCTGCCCGGTTTGTTGACATTTATGATTACTGCTCCGCTCCCTAGCATGATTATATATAGCCTATTAGACTTCCTCAATGAACGGGCTGTCTAATGCAAAAATAATTTTTCAACTCGGATTAGTAGTTCCTGAGATTAGCGCTTTCAAACTAACTAACAATCAAACTCTGCCTCTTTATAATATCAGTATAGATAAATAGGCTTAACACAGAAAGAGCAACGCTGGATAGGTTCTTATGGCATTCTTTTCGGGAAGCCTATGTCCATTAGTGGGCGTCTGATGGCTGAAATAACGATGATGATAAAGGTAAAAATATAGGCGGGCGACGGCGGCATTTTTCAGTTTTTGCCCCGCCTAGAAAAAATTGAAGATCTGGGGCTGGTTTTACGGTGAAGGAAAACATCGTTTAGAAACCTGCATATTTAGAGAAACCTAACTAGTTTTCGTAAGACACGTGAAGTCCGTTAATCCGCACTTGGCCAGCATGGATCTCCTTGTATTGAGGGGAGATTCCGGGCCCGTGCCCAGCAGTGCGACGTACGATGTAAAAAGACTGAATAAATTAAATATAGATATATATTAGATATAGGCTATTCTATATAGAAAAAAAGTCAGCTATTAGATACCTAATGCAGAAGTAGCTAGCAAGGCAGTGGCCAGCCTAAGCGCGACGGTCGGGCCGCGCGACGCGGTGAGCGCGGCAGCGGCCGGGGACGCAGCCAGCTGCGTCGCCGCCTTGGCGCCCAGCACTGCGCCCACGATGGCTTGTGACGTGCCTACACTGCCTGAGGAGAAACTTAGAATGAAAACTGATCAAGTGTAAACGGACTGGTGTGGATTTTTGGGTAGACGCCGTCCGTAAAAACTATATAATAACTTTTGGCATGATTGTTGTAAAGGATTCGAAACACCGGGAACCAAAAATCACACCAAATCCGCGAAAAAATCCGAAAAGATAATTTTATTAAAAATGTTAAATATTGGCATAAATCTAAGAAAGTACTTATTGTGCAGATTAGGTCCATTACTATCAAAAATGGGCCTTATAGTTTGTAAACTGAATATTTTATAGGTGTTCAAGGAAAAATATAAGATCAAGCATATAAAATAATGAGGAATGTTAGGTTCATTATTCTTTTGCTCTCTTTATTTTTTTTTAACTATGTGTTTTATTTTCAAAGTGCCTAACAGTAGCCTATGTATTATCGAGGTTATAATCTATCTGTACGAGTATACCTAATTTCATCCAAATTCCTATTTACATCACGCCCCTTTTATCTTAGTGTTTTCCTACACCTTTGGTTGACTGGTCTGTCTTCTTTACTGGGTGTACAATAAAGAATATCATTATTATTATTATTTTTAAAATTTACCGTAAATTTATTTTAATCCAAAAAAAAATTGAGATATTGAGTGAGTAATTTCATAATGAGTTTTCTATCCCCGCATGGTAGGTAGGTATCCCCCAAAGCATTTTTAACGTGAGGCAATTATCCGCCACAGAAGGCAAGTATAGCTTTTTTTTGAGGTCGAATTAAACAATATTTGCCGAAAAACAACATTGTGTTTAAAAAAAAGATCACAATTAAAGATTAAAGGTCAATGTTTTAAATATACACGGAGTATATTGTAAGGAGATACTTTATTTTTATGTAGGTAATTGGAGATTTTCAAAAGTGGTGCAACTATCCGCGTTTTACTCTATGTGTATAGATGTGGGTGAGTCACAGATACAAACATTTACATTTATAATAATAGCAGACCGATTAACTCGGTCATAATACATAATAATACTAAAACATTACCAGTATCATCTTGAGTAATTTTCTGCACGGTGGTGTTAAGGAGGTGTGCGAGCGGCGCCCCGTGCTCCGTCCACAGCGCCAGCGACTCGCCTTGCACCCAGTCCGGTATTATTGGCACTGGTGGGATTAACTTATTACATTCATATAAACCACAATCTCTCTTTTTCTTTCATATTATGAAAGCCTCTACCAGTAATGTATTACTTAACAAAATAAAAATTATATTCGAAAATATTTAGCACTGACCGAGCACCGTCAGGAGGACATTGTCTAAGAAAAACGTTAAGTAGACTAATCCGAAGGCGGCCCAGCTCGTCGACTGCTGGTAATCCTGCATGGTGGATCGCCCCACGGTCCACAAGCGACTGTGTGAAGACACGTAATATCGGGAGCCGTCCCATCTGTGCCGAGTGTCGTATCCCGATAAAAGGCAATTCGTTTCCAATCAGTGTTCGCCCGCGCGTATGCGCTTGCCTTAACGCAATTTGACGCTAAGGGATGCGGCTTATGAGATAAGTGACAATACTAGGTACATAATATGTATTTTTCAATCATACTATTATATGTAGGATAGAATTTATAGCGTTTAGAATAATACTTTCTTAGATTTACGCGAATATTTGGCATTTTAAATAAAACTATCTTTTCGGTTTTTTCCCACCAAACCAATACCAAAAATTAAAATAAATTCGCGTAAAGTTTAGAATGTCATATATGGTGGTATGCCTCGGTGGTGTAGTGGCTAGCATGTACGACTGCACACCCGGAGGTCCTGGGTTTGAGTCCCGGGTCGGGCCAAGTTTAGTTATTGAGTCTTTCTGTATATTAAGTCTCAGTAACAGCCAGGAGTTGGGAAGTTGGTGGTGTTTCACCCCCGTGACTCGGAGAGCACGTAAAGCCGTCGGTACTGCGCCTTAACTCTCACTGGTCGTGTCGAGCAGTCGTCCCACCGGAGTATGAGAGTGACAGGAATAGAGAGTGCACTTGTGTCTGCGCGTACACTTGAGCACTATAATAATATCTCCTACGCAGTTGGCTAATCTCAATGAGATTGGCCGCCGTTGCCGGAATCGGCTAGGAGAACATCATCATCATCATATGGGACATTATAATCTGTTGGAGATTGTAATTAATGTTACTTCTATGGTAAAATTAAAAGACAAAAGCAGCGACATCCTATTAGAGGAAGAGCCCGTGAACGCCAGACCTTCGTCATTTTATAAAGGCTGAAAGTTTGTCAGCGCATGCTCCTAACACAGATAAGAACGATGGACCATTATGAAGTTCAGGCTATGGTGGCTTTGGCAGGTACACGGTACTGAAGGTGTGTAAAATACCGATCTAAATTCGTCAAATAATAAAGTGTGATTTTTTGGTATTACCTTCAGAATATTTTTAAAAATCACGTCATTCAATGCCAGACACTTAACATCGTGGCAAACCCTTGCCAGACACCCTTTTCATGAAATCATAATTCTACTTACGTTATAGTATTTAAAAAGCTGATTTTTATATATAATACTTGGGTAATAATTAGATGATTTATAAGACTGCTAGCATAGCATTTATTACACACCATGAAAAATGTTCCAAACAAGTTGGTAGGCATTTCTAAGAAAATGTTGCAAATAGTCACCAAATTTGAAGCGCTAAGAATTGACTTTATTTTTGAAGTTTTGAGGTTTAGTATAGATTTCTCAGAGATGAGATATTTTACCGCAGTAAAAAGTATCCTATATGTTGACCCAGATAACCAGCTATCATCATACCAAATTTCATCAAAATTCCTCCTGTGGTTTTTTTGTGATGCGGTAATAAACAGACAGACAAACAGACAAAAATTCTAAAAACTATAGATTCGGCCTCTATATCGAGACTAAAGTCTATTTCAATAAGATTTTCCATAAAATATCTATTTATTCGGTTTAGTTAGAACTTTATCTATATATATAAAAGAAAGTCGTGTTAGTTACTTCGCTTATAACTCAAGAACGGCTGAACCGATTTAGCTGAAAATTGGCAGGGAGGTAGTTTAGAGCCAGGAGAAGGACATAGGATACTTTTTATCCCGTTCGACCGCGTTCAGATTTTTATGATATTTTAATTTTTGGATTTCTCTTAGTCCGGAATAGGTAAGTATTAAAACATATAATTAAAATGTGAGAAAGAAAGATTTTTTCTTTTTATATCTATTTAAAACGTACCTAGCGACGAACCCGAGCGAAGCGAGGGTGAGCCGCTAGTTATATATATAGACTACAAAATATACTTGTTCGTGTGTTATGATATTATATAGATAAGTCGATTTGGTCAGTCGATCGATGTCTGATATTCTGATGATAAAAAAATATTTATCCCCACAAAATTATTTCATGAGTTTAATATTTTTTGATCCTAACAATGTCAATTCAATTCCCCATAGATTTAATATATGTATGCGATAAAATTATGTGCTAGAGCTGAGCAATAATCAAACCTAAGTAGGTAATATTATTTCACTTTTAACTTACACATATCTAGCTTACCTCTACTTTTCAATCAAACCCGACGTCAATGAAACAAATATTTTAAGCAATAAAGTTTTAATTAATATATCTTTGGTACAAACTATTAATTAACTTTCGTATAAATATTTTAATATCAATAAGCTGCTATGATATTTTTTAGTCTGTGGTTCCCGTCATTGTCAACTGTCAAGTATCTCTAGCTTATAGCCTGTGGTCAAGTTCTCGATAGTCAACATCACCGTTTGCGGCTGCTCCGTACTCGAGTTCGTTCTTCCGAGCTCTAGTGAAGGCTGTGTCGATCCGCCTGACCCCTCTCTCATAAAGTAAAAAGCTACCGTGGGGCTTCGCGCATAAAATATACATACTTGTGATATAATATCAGATAATAAATTGAAAGTGCCCTCTAGAGGACTGCCTTATTATCAACACATCCCGCTGTTTCCGTGTTTCAATATGGTAAGCTTAGACAATTATTTAAATTCACAATTAAATTTCGTGGTTTTTAATTATAGATAAGTGTACTTCCGAAGCTATACAAATGTGCATTAGGAGTAATGTTCCGAAATTCAGATGAACCGCTTAATATATATTTTCGGTCCGTTTGTAATATCATAAATATATAAATTATAAATAATATTAAAATAACACTTGAATTCTAATGCTTAATTAATTTGGAAAAATGCAGTCCCAGTTTTCACGTTTACATTAGTATAATTTACTATCTCATAGTTATAAATAAAAAAATATTAAAGGCACAATTACATATTTTTCTTATTTGAATTTAATAAGAATTACTTTAACTTTGTGTTAAAAACTGGCATTCTATTTTTAATCAGCCTATAAATTTTTATTTTTAGATATGTACATACTCTAAGTTATTGTTCATTTTCCTTTCTAATTTTTATTCATATTATAAGGTGAATGGTGAGAATTTGATTATTTATCTATAATTTTATTATAAACATGTACCCCATTTTAAGAGTAAAGATTATTAACCACTTGTGGACACTAATCTTATTCCAATATTGAGAAAAGAAAATAAATCATATCCATTGCCCATACAACAATCAGTCGCAGTTGTCATACTTAATTGATTCAACATTATTTTATTGTGTGTAGCCGTCAAGGATTTCTTTTTATACATTAATTCAAGATATTTGTTGCTTTATAATGTCAGTGCCATCTTTTCATTATTAGTCTATTGAAAGTTTTTGTTTTGATAGTATATTTTAAAAATAACTTTCTCACTTGATTGATAACTTGAGCAAAACTTAGGTAAATACAAATTCAAAAGATTACTTATCTCTTACAATATAATATGTATATATTGTTTCATAGAAGTATTTTTCATGAATTATTTAATTAAATATATATTTTTTATAATAGGAAATATTTATCTTTGATTGTCATGTTTGATATATGAAAGAAATAATTTAAATATTATTCGCATAATTTGTGTTTAATCTGTCTGAGAGCATTGAGAGTGTATACTGTATAGTGTATAGCATCATATGTGTATGTGTATACCTATTCAATTAATATGATAAATTATTTCTTGTTTATATATTGTATTATATTCGAATAAATCTAGTGATTGAATCTGCAAATAATATATCAATAATGAAATATTAATTCCAAAGCAAATGTTTAATTTTTAATATCTTGTAAGAAATCAAAATACCTAGTCAATTGTAACAAAGTTAGAGAAATTTAAATTGGCCACCTGAAAAAATATCTGCGTGACCAATATATATACTTGCCAGGAGTGAAGATTTAACCCGCAATCACTTGCAAGCTTTCATGACCATTATCATAATAAAATATATTTTGTAAGGTGGAATATGTACATGTACAAGTACATATGTATAAGCTTAGAAAAGCAATAATTATTAGATCAAAATAGTACCTACAGTGCTTTTGGCGTTAACCTTTTGAACTTATACTTCTTTTGGGAGTTTGGAAAAAAATATGAATGTAAAATTTTTACGATGCGCGCGTACACCCAAAGCGCGACATGATGAAGTTAGCTGATAGCGACATGATAAAGTTAGCTGTTGCTTAGTTTCTTTTTAACCGACTTCCAAAAACGAGAAGGTTCTCAATTCGTCGGAATCTTTTTTTTTATTATATGTTCACCGATTACTCGAAGACGCCTGAACCGATTTGGCAAATTTTTGTTTTGTTTGAAAGGGTATACTTCCCAGGTGGTCCCATATAAATTTTATCGAAATCGGTCGAGCGGTTTTAAAAAAAATCAACAATAAATATATTTTTTAAACAAATTGTTTAATCTAATATGTTATTAAAATCATCCATCTATCCATCCATCCATCTTCATTAATAACATTTCAAAAGTAATTTCTTCTCCCTTCCATCTATATGCAGATGATTTACAGATATACCGACACTTTGAGCTGACCGAGTTGCATGACGCTATTGGTGCATTAAACTCGGACCTTGCTGAAGTCCAATTATGGGCTGAGTCTTTCGGCCTTCTTGTGAATCCCAGCAAATGCACTGTGCATTATATTTGGCAGTAGTAGACTGAGGTGCAAAATCGACTGGACTTCAATACCTTAAGTCCAGTTTTCTTGTGTTCCAATCTCTTATTGTGATAGAGTGAAAAACTTGGGCCTAATAATGGATTGTAACATGACCTGGGTAGCTCATGTCAACGAGGTCAGCAAACGAATGCATCACTCTTTCCACTCTCTCAAGCGTCTCCAATTCTTTCTCCCATTTAGTACCAAGATTATGCTTGCTCAAACCCTTCTTCTCTCCATACTTGACTACGCTGATGTGTGCTATTTGGATGTGACTAAGGAGCAAC